CTTTCAGAAACAAATTATGTCTGCTGTTGGTTGGGTTTTGTGTTGCATTTATTGCTTAGTATGTGGCAACTTACTAAGTATTGTTTACCAGCAAGTTATAAGGGACAATTCTTTTGTGGTGGGAAATTCTTCATCAGAGGAGCAGGACACAGTCTTGTGTGCAGATTGAGTTTTATTGAGCCTCAATAAGTACATAACATGCACTGGGTCTGCCCCGCAGAAATGACATCCTGCAAGAGTTTCCCAACTCTTATATACAGTGCAGACTGAGAGACAAAAGTTACTACAGAACTTCACACTTTAACATGTGACAGGAGTTATCACCTTTAGTGTTTTCCCTTGTTTATGGTGTGTTTTCCTTGTTTATGGCTTCCACTGTTTATTTTTCCTCCTTTAACACTTGCAGCAGGGCATTTGTTGTTGCAGCTGTCGGTACCAGTTACTTTTCTTTGCTCTAACAAATATTTTGAGATGGCCTAAGTTAACAGATCTCTGCAATCGTTCTAATGACTTCTGCAATATAGATCAGTACTAATATTGTAGTGCTGGATATGTGCAGTATAGATACTGCTTCACAGTACAGCTACACTTTCAAATAGCTTTCAGAAACAAATTATGTCTGCTGTTGGTTGGGTTTTGCATTGCATTCATTCCTTAGTATGCGGCAACTTACTAAGTATTGTTTACCAGCAAGTTATAAGTGCCAGATCTTTTGATCACTTGATATTTGCATATGAGTTTGAAATTAAATAGAATAATTTACACAATAATAAAACATCAAAGTATTTAAGGTATATGTGAATGTTATCTTGGTTTCCAGTTAAGAGTGTGTAAAAGATATGCTGAAATAAAATTTAAAAAGAAAATGTCCATTGGCAGTGATGGATCTGGAACTCTGAAACAAAATTACCACACTGATATTTTGTTTCTCCAAGGACTTGCTTAAGGCAGTAAAACAACCAGTTTGAAAAGCCTGAGACCCTGCTCCAGGGCTATGGTATAATCTGATACACAAATGTCAGTTTTATTGTAGCTCCTATGTACTCTGCACTACAGAGGAGCAATGGTTTATTTTGCAATTAAATAACCCTCTTACATAAAAAAAGTTATAAACTTCTGCTTTTCCTGATTGCAATCCTAAGCAATAAAAACTCAAGTCCTCAAGAGGTTCTAAAAGTAATAAAATGTGACAACATTTTTGACTGCTTCAATATGCATTATCATACCCAAGAGCACCCATTCGAAAGAATGGGGCATGGAATTTGATGGCTATCTACAATACACTTCAAGTGCTACATGCTACAGAACTCTTGCACTACATAGACAGTACACTATAAAGGTAATGCGAAGGTTATTGTGAAGACTGATGTGCTTCACCAGTAAATGGAAGTAAAATCGATGTGGCTCTATAAAAAGCTATAACAGGCTGGTTTCAGACGGAGGTTATAGCAGGGATCTATTAATTTTACCATAGTTGAGAGACAGCTGTTCTTTTTTTCAAAGGCTGTTCATTCATTTGGGTATTCAACACTAGCTGCTAAAAAATAATAGGTTTCTTCCCCAATCTGATGTATTTTCACAGCCATCTTAATACATTTAATTTCCTGTTCTGTGTGTTTCAATATGTTGGTAATTGATAGATTGAAATGGACCTTATTACCTATAAATAATTACCTTATTTATAGAACAATAATAATAGATTAAAAAAGAAGGAGACATAAGTTTGTATTACAAATTCTTGGATTCTAATTTTTAAAAACGGGTACTGTTATAAGAAATTGTGTTGTTGTTTTTTGTTTGAATTTCGAAGGGCTTGTTAGTGGTGAATTTGATTAAGGCATTTTAAGGCATGGAAGTGCCAGGATGAGCACTACAGTCTAGGTTGGGGGCTTAAGGTCTTGATCCATACTGGCATTAACTGACAGTCAGAAATAGTAGTGGCAACATAAGATTAGCAGGGTACTGCTAAAGTGGGATCTTGGACCAAAAGCTAACAGTATGCTTGGACTCCATCTTCCAGTTTGCAGTACAGATATGCCATTAGAACTCTGGGGGGGAAAAGCAGATGACTTTGAAAAACACAAAACATGTTGTGTTTATGACACAACATTTGAATGATATGTCTGGCTCAGTAACCGTTGGCATTTCTATACCAAGACTGTATTAATGATTTTAGCACTGCCTGTTGCTAAGGTGCTTGCTGAAGAAATGGGCCTGAAAATGTGCCTGCCTTGTGCTGAAATATGGCTTGCACAGGCTTCTGTATTTCGTTTCTTAGAATCAACATATGATCCTCTCATCAGTTTTGGTGGGCATATTCTCCTCTGTGTAGCTGACAGAGGATCAGGGGCACAGCCTTTCAGTTCCCTTTCCTTGGTGAGGATCATGACAGGAACATATCTTCACACAAATTACCTATGTGCCCCTGCCATGCTGTACCTGTGTGTCAAATCCCTGTTTTTGTTCTGTATTCTGCATACTGTATAAGTAGGATTATTCTCAAACTTAAGTGGCATGATCTGTTTATATGGTAGTTAATTTGTTGGTTAACTGTACAATAAAAAAATACAAAAAAAAATATACAATTTCTTGTATTAGGAATTTGTCTTCTAACATACCCCAGCTTGCTCTCCATGGGATACATGGTGCAAGGTCAGCCATTTATACAGCACCCCTGGAGAGGTTGGGGTTAAGGGCCTTGCTCAGTGGCCCAACAGAGTAGGATTCCTTTGCCAGCCACAGGATTTGAACTGGCAGCCTTCTAGTCACAGCTGCAGATCCTTAGCCACAGTGCTACCGCCCCACCCAATTAGTAATACTAATATATATATAGGAATATAATACTAAATTGTACACAGTTAAGGGGCTCAGTAATCAAAAGGGTCAAAACATTCCTTGTAACACGGCTGGGGGTGGAACACAGTAGTAGCAATCTTTTAATATAGTACGTGAGTCTAGATAAAAAATACACAAACACAGCAATGAGGTACAAAGCCAGTACTCTTTCTTTACATTGTGGGGAAATATTCTTTTGTAACTGTATTTTTTTTAATCCCACTCCTTCAATAACCGGAAACCTAAGGTGCTTACCGGATTCATAACACTGTTTCTCAAAAATACCTCTGTACCAGGACTGTACTAAGATTCTCTCTTTGAAACTTTTACTCTGAAAGGTTTACTCAAAACTCCTCTCACAGAAACTTCCATGTGCAAAACTCACAAAAGCTCCATCACCAATCAGGTGCTGGGTCAGTCAGATGCTTCCTTGCCTCTCTCTGTCTGGTGAAATAACACAACTGTTGACGTCTGTCTTCAGACGACAAATGTTAAAAGAGAACTTCAACAGTATTTTTAAATTTGGGGGTTAGAAAGAATCAGCATTTGATGAGTGTATTTCAAACGACAATAAAAGTAAAATGTACACAGTAACTTGTAAAACCATATTCTGTGATTCAGAGCGAGGTAACAAAACATCCAATGACTTGAAGCGGCCTTATTGCATTTTAAACAAACAGGCTTGTGAATACATCTCTGTTATTCCAATAGAAATATTGCCCTTGACTTCAAGACAGTTTTGCTTACAGATACTACTTACTGTATGCAGATCACATTGGAACATCTCTGTGGTGAAATGTCTGCTATACAATATGTACTTATTCGCTCATACTGTACATCACATTACTAATAATAATAATTGCTTACACTTATATAGCGCTTTTCTGGACACTCCACTCAAAGTGCTCCACCTCCACTACCAATGTGCACCAGAACTCTCACCACACATCAGCTATTAGTGGGGAGGAGAGTAATGAAGCCAATTCATATATGGGGATTATTAGGAGGCCAATGGGAAATTTGGCCAGGACGCCGGGGTTACACCCCTACTCTTTTCAAGAAGAACCCTGGGATTTTTAATGACCACAGAGAGTCAGGACCTCAGTTTTACGTCTCATTCGAAGGATGGTGCCTGTTTATAGTATAGTGTCCCCGTCGCTATACTGGGGCATTAGGACCCACACAGACCACAGGGTGAGCTCCCCCTGCTGGCCCCACTAACACCTCTTCCAGCAGCAACCCTAGTTTTTCCCAAGTGGTCTCCCATCCAGGTACTGACCAGGCTCACACCTGCTTAGCTTCAGTGGGTTGCCAGTTGTGAGTTGCAGGGTGATATGGCTGCTGGCTTACATTAGGCATTACAGTGACTAGTGAGCAGGAAGGGCTGCTCCACATCACAATTTGTGTGAGCTCTTGCTCTTGCCCCTGGTGAGACCAGCGAATTGCGACAACAATGGCAATCATACAGTACTAAGTTCTCAATTTTGAGCTTATTTCAGAATTTGTACATTTTTTCTATACCATCAATTCATTTATTTTGTTACCAAGATTTAATAACTGGTCTGAGAAATTTTAACTGCAGTTCCCCTTTAACTAACCACCTGGAAGATCTGCTTCCTCGTTTTAAATGTAACCTGACCAATTGTCTTCTCACTAGGAAATTCCCTACATTTTCCTGCACCTGCTCTGGACAAGAAAACACAGGGATAGGTTCTATGGGATGCCACTGTGTCACAAGGGCCAAAGCTGTAGCAGTAGTAGTACAAATAATAACTTTTATTTATAAACCATATTTCCAAACTCAAGGATGCTCACTGATAAAGAAAAGGAAAAAGAAAACATAAACAAAACTGTATAAGATAGAATGTTGGAAAAGCCATAGGTGAGTTTTGAGTTTAGATTTGAAGAGAGTCAAATAAAAATGTTTGGTCAAGACTGTACCCTGCAGCACACCGTGATTGACTGAGGCCATGGGGGATTTATGAGGACCAAGAGAAACAAAATGCTGCCGGCCAGTCATTTTAATATAAATGTACATTTATATTAAAAAATCTAAATGTACATTTTTAAGTAACTTGCACATTTCTAAAGCAGCTTGTACAATACCTGTTGCTCATCTGGACTTATCACCATGTCTGTAAAGTATGTGGTGATATCTCTCCCAGGGAGGCATGCCCCAGACGCTGAGCTCTACAAGTATGTTCACTCCCAGTGGCTTCAGCCCCCATCTGCAGCCTACGAAAGAGCCTGAGCAAGAAGGCCTCAGCCTGCAGGACGGCACCCTCAACTCAGCTTCTCTGGACACTCTCATTCAGCACCTGGTCCCCACCACTGAGTATTACCCTGAGGTGAGCCTGGGGGCCTCCAGACAGGGTGGCGTTCATGCATTAACACTCTGCTTACATAATGGTTTTAACTGGTAATGTAGGGCAGCTCAATTGGCATTCATACTGTATCTGCCTTTTAGATGTCCTTGCATTGGCAGGAGGTCAATAAAAAAAGCCTTGAAAATGAAGTCTGGTAATAGTTCATTCTACTAGGTAACTATCTTGTTTCTTATTATTCAATAATATAATTCAGAATTTGAATAAGCAAAATCTAGCAGATGACCAACTCCCATTGATAAAGATTGGATGGAAAATTTACTTTAAAAAGTGATCAGTAACCCTGGTGTATGTAGTGTGTGTATAGTTACTATGTAAAGTAATACAGTTTCTCTGAAAAGCAATTTTTTCATTTTAGAATGTCTTTTCTTACACAATAAATTGTAACTTTAATGGATTACTTTTAAAAATAACTTTCCCCAAAACTGGGTTTTATAATACATGAGATATTTGAGGTTCTATAGTTCAGCAATGGATGAATTCTGAATTCTTTACTTCTGGGCCCTGCAAATACTGTATGGATAACATATTCAGGAGGTTGGGATTTATATTAGAGACAGTACAACATACAGTACTACTTTAAACTGACATTCCATACGTCATCTTGGATAAGATGGGGATTCTTAAACTGAAATGGGGGTATCTCACATGAAATTTTAAAAGGTATTATTAGGTTAAACATAACCTTTCCTCATTTACTTAAATTTGCCATCCTTTTTTATCCATGTGTTAATTTCTAGAACTTTGTGTTAACATCTAGTTTCTAACAGCACTGTTACTTGCTTCTGTCCTATTCTAGTCAAACCATGGAAACTTAGCAAGACGGGGCCTTGTCACTATTGCAATGGAAGTGGAAAAACTGTTTTTCTGTTGCTAGTGGTGGTTGTGGAGCAATAGGAGGTATTCTAGACCAGAGCCTGAACCAGTGCCCTAGTCTGGTAAACTTAAGGCTACAGTGGGGCCCTGACTACTTTTTCAAAACCTGTCCCACCTAAAGCTGCTGCTTAAATCAACAAGTGAAACACTTTCTCATTTCACAATAGCAATGATTAGATTGTAATTAGCAGTTCAGACATTCAAAGGTGCACAGTCCGAACCTATAAAAATAAAAAAAAGGTTCTTATAGGGATTCCAGTTTTTCACATGAATAGCCTATAAAAACTTTTATTATCTGGTCCTGGTCCTGGTACAGGGGGTTGGTGTGTCTTCAAGACATCATTTCAGCTCAGTTCTAAAAGAGATTCAACATATGATTGGATAAATTGGAAAAAACATTTTTGCTGGCGGATTAAAGATACCTAGAACGCCAGCAGAAACACTGGCCTTCTAGCACCAGGAGTAGACACTTCTAATGTACAAACAGTTTGTGTGGAATCAAGATCTGTTGTGTGTGTGCTGCTTTGGAAATGTGAGGTCTGTTCTTCTCTCCTTCTCCTGTCTCCTTCTATTTTCATAGAAAGCCTATATCTTTACCTTCTTGCTGAGCTCTCGCCTCTTCATCGAACCCCATGACCTGCTTTCCAGAGTCTGCCAGATGTGTATCGAACAGCAACATCTGGATGACCCTGTGCTTGATAAGGTGGGTGATTTTTAATTCAAAATTGTCTATTGATCTTTTCAAACATTGTTAATACAGCTTTCAAATGCAAGGAAGTGAGAGGTGTGTTATACTGTACATGCAGTCGAGTGTAGTCTTTCTTTCCCAACAAAGCATCAAAATAATATGCATTCGGTACACCTGCCTATTTCAGGTGGATTTTTGTTGCAAGAAACAACAGGGTTTTTGTCTTCTTAAACATTACAAAGTTAATAACAATGTTATTGAGATTTATACTTTTCCACTACTGATGCCAATGTTTTTTGTGAAATGAAACCACATTATATTACATTACATTATTATATTAAATCAGCCTCAGAAAAATTGAAGGATTCTATTTTACAGGCAAAAGTCCGCAAGTTTGGGCCAAAGATACTGCAATTGTTGACAGAGTGGACAGAAACATTTCCCTCTGACTTCAGAGAGGAACAGATGGTGGGGCACTTGAAGGACATAATCCATAGGATAGCTCCCTGTGATGAGGTAAGTGGGCAATCAGGCGAATTTGTGAAAAACAGCACATTTTTAAAAAATGCAAATAAAGATGCTATAACCTGATTTTGATAAGATCCATGATAAGATCCATTTCATATCTTTCTCACTTTGTTAGCATTGTTTTCTTTTCCTTTTTATTCTTCATGGTACTCCTTGATAAATATATATTCTATAGCTGAAACAGGGTGGCTCAGTCACAAAAAGCCTTTACCTCTGAGGACCAAGCAGGAATCTTTCAGCCCTATTCTTCATAAGGCTAATTCTGAGTAAAAGTTGAAAATTCTCTCTCATGAAACCCATGACCTAAGATGGCACATCTATGAAATTGAAACCCCAGAACGAGAGATTTGGGTTGAGACACGTAAACAATTTACCCCGGACCTTAAAGTCAAACCTGTTTCAGCTTGTCTTCATGAACTTTGGAAGGCTTTATAAGTTATCATAAAAAGTTAAATCTTTTTTTATTGCAATAATATTAAAAATTTAAAGGTTTGCATGTAATCAACAAAATCAGAGAGATTAAATAGATTCATTTCTTGCAAAGGTACATTTTATGAAATTTTTAAGTGGTAGCTCAAATTTTTCTACATAGCTATTAGTATCATAGATTAAAAGGCAGTGGTTGTCTCCATTTAATTAAAAATCTTATCTGAATGGGCAATGTGTAGTCTTGTGCATAATAATTACATCCTCAGCATAACTGCATTTTTTTCTGGGAATGGTATTGCATACTAAAAGACAACTCAAGTCTTCTGATTATGATGCAGTGCAAGTTAGCCCCACAAATCACAGATTAAAAAGAGCTAGCTAATGCCCCCAACCCTCATTTCCAGCTCTGTCTCTGGGTGTGCTCTCAAGTCCTTGCTGCTAACATTAAATTAAAATCTATAAGCGTTCGGCAGACTGCCCTAGCAGAGATTTGGTAGAGTAAATTAAAGAATAGGCCATGGTTTTTAAATGAGGAAAAAAATAGACACCACCACTCAATCAGGATGGCATTGATGAATGTGTGGTTGTTTGCAGATTTTCTTTATGTGAGACAAAAGCACTGCAAAGTATGGCACAGGTTTATTTCTGAGGGACATTTCACCTGTGGTACACAACATGTGTTTAGAAATAAATTGGAAAGACTACAAAGGTCTGCTGCAGTGTAGGTTTTGTACATCGGGAAAAGAGAACACATAAAAAGCTCTGAGAGTTATGTCACCCCACCCACCCTGGGTAACTGCAGTCTTGCACTCCTTAGCTCTACCTCCAAACAGTATGATGCTGTTTGTTTGATATTGTATTTGATGCTATCTGGTAAATACATTCTAATTCTAGACCTCTGCATGAAATTAAGCAAGCAGGACATTACCCATTTAAAGTGACCCAAATCTGATTAGAATGAACATTTTAACCCTGGATCACATTGACCTACTGTATATGGTGGTTCACATTGACTTAACACTCCGTTCAGCAATTAAAGATGGTTTAATATGGCCTTATTTCCCACTGTAATAAACATATCTTTTTATTTCTGTCTATTATTAGATGTACAATCATATTTCCTCCCATTTTATCCTATTACATTTCTCTGCATGCTTCTATGCTTCTCCTGCTTGGATAATTCAACATACTGTCAGTTGTAAAGAAAAAAAGAATTGAAGGTATGCCAATTCTGTTGAAAATTGTGCAGTTTACTATAGGAGAATACTGTTGGATGCATTTTCCTGCTTCCCCTTAAAAGACAGTCAGGAGTCCATCTCAGAAGTTAAAATAAGTTTTTATGTAATGTGTATGGGAGCAAAACACACAGAGATCCTTGGTGTATTTTTCTCAAAGTAATTAAACTCGAACAGTCCTTAAATATCTTTCTGTTACCTATAGTGCTTCCCTGTGCTTATCATACTGGCAGTTTTCCAAAATCATACTCATCTTCTTCTTCTCTATTTGCCAAAGACAACTTCTTTTAACACTTAGGTTCGTAGCACACGTTCCTATATAACACAGTATAGAATTACATAATAGTCCTTGTGTTCAACCAAACTTCCAATCCAGTTCAAACTAGTTTAGTATGTCCACCTTATAAAATATTGCAGCTTCAGCAGAAAATGTGTGAGCAAAGTTCACAGAGACCCTCTCAACAATGCTAAAATATTGTCATAGTTGCTGTAACTATAAAGGTGCCATTTTTGTGATAGGAACCAGAGGATTTAAAGCAAAAGGGTATATTTAGTATGCAAAAGCTGAATATATATATATTAAATATTTTTTGCAGGCATACTGGAAGAAGATGAACCAGCTTCTTCAGAACCTAAATCAGAAGCTGACCACTCTGAACCAGGGTGAAGAGAGCATTGTCAAAGTTAATGCCTCAGTCTCTGACAAGCTGGTGGCTTTCAAAACTAAACCAGCCCCCATTCAAAGGGATATCCTGAGCATCTGTAATGACCCCTACACCCTCGCACAACAACTCACTCATGTGGAACTGGTGAGTCAGCTGTGCTGCTATGGTAGTGTCACCAAATCATCAATGATGATTGTTAAATTGTGTTCTCTTGCATTGTTTATTTTTAGAAGACTTTATTACAATTGTAAGTAATTCTGGGGTAATAGTTAGCAGTGGAAGGTATTTCTTTAAATCATAAAATGAGGGTAGAACTGATAGGAAAATGCTTTTGGAATCATTTTGTCAACCTTTGCATCCCCTATGAATATTGAATTCAGTTTTCAATTATTTTGCTTATACCCAATTTGGAATTGACAGTTGTGTTTTTTTACATCTTAACTCACTGCTCATTAATCGAGTGACTTTGCACACCCTACCCCCAACAGCACCAATTGTGCTGCTCTGTTTGGGGAATCCTAGTATCCGTCAGCTAGTGACATGACCATGACTCAAAAGCATGATCACAAAGCTCAACCTGCAATCATCTTTATTGTTTAAGTCACTTTATTGTTTAAGTTTAATACCCAATTCAGATAGAAGATGGACTGCAACAGACGAGGAAAATGGTTGGTTCTATTTTATGCTAATGTAGCATGTTTTCCCATTATTCCCAACCTTTTTTCTTAAAGTATTTTTTTCTGGTGCAAGTAATAAAGCATATATTAGTTCTTTATGACTCTCATTCTAGCAGATAAAGATTTTGTCAGTATTAACTGTCTGATACGTGTTTTATAACATACAGTATATTAGACAACTTGCAAACTAACACTAATAAATTGTCTTTCAGAAATGAGAAACTAATTGATGCATTCTAATGTAAGATTAAAATGATGTATAACCTCTTTTCTATACACATGGAAAAACAAAAGATTAATGTGAATTATTGACTGATTTAACAGCAGCAGCAGTAGTAGTTATGACAACAAGAGTGTACCGATGTATTGGAATATATTCATGCATACGTTTACTTGAAAGAAGAATGCTTATGGTAATTCATTGAGACTTTCATTTATTGTTAGTAAATTATATTGGATACCTGAAATTAGTAGAGTAATTCTAAGTAAGCTAATAAAACTGGACTTTGTGCTTCTGGCACCACTGCATGCTATATATTATATTTATCACAGAAATCTGCATTGACATTTTCCTCACCATTCACTTACACCTGCTTTTATTAAAGCCATTTGTTGAAAAGACAAGAGATGGGGTGACAAATTCATGGATATTGAAATTTCTACATTTTCACAGAGGCAGATCAGAAGAAAAACAAATGGATATGATATAAATATTGGAAATTCATATGATGTGGTCTTCCAATTGAAAATGTACAAAAGAAATGTACAGAACCACACAAGTGCCATTTCTGCTTTTGTCTTCACTTTATAACTAATATCAGCTTTACCCCTTGTTTAGCTGAAAGCACTTGTAATGTGCATGTACTTTATACATTAGATAGATAGATACTTTATTGATCCCGTGAGGGAAATTGCAGAACAACTTTTAATTATGCCATAGGCAGAAGTTACTTTTATGAATGAAACGGTACTTTCACTTTTTACATTATTCTGAAGGACAGCTTTAGCAGCCTGAGGTAATTTTTTTTAGGCCTGAGTGAGTTTGTATTTTAAACCACCCTATGATGGGCTTGCTGCCTACATAGTGCTTGAGGCTTGAGAAAGGATGTTTGATCTGACAATGTCATGTATCTATAAAAATAAAAATGTTTCTGTTAGAGAAAGACACTGTACTATACTGTACCACATCTACAGTATATTAGCCAGTGGCTGCAAGAGCAGATTTAGATTGTTTGAGCAATCACGTATTATGACCTGCAAAGTATATGATCTTCTTAATTAAATGTAACTGGTTTAGTTTTTATTGTGATTGTGCATGATTATTGCTTAACACATGTGTGGACAGTATAATTGCAAATATTTGTGTTTTGTTTTTTTTTTGCTTCATGGGTTATCCGCTATTTAAATTTTCTTCTAGGAACGACTGAGCCACATTGGTCCAGAGGAATTTGTTCAGGCATTTGTACATAAAGATCCTCTGGATGGCACAAAGGTAAAATAAAGTTCTTTCAATCTACAAGCTAGATTGAAATCTAGTTCAAGCAGTGTTGGAGATTGTAGGTGTAGTTCACTTTATGATAAAATAAGATGTTTTTGTGCTTTGTCAGAGAACCCTAGATATCCTTGGAATAATTATAATATTTCGGGCGAACCTAATGCCATTTCAGGTCACTGTGGAAAACGTAAGTAGGCACATTAGTTCTACTTCATTCTGTGTTCATTTGTCTTCCAGTGCCCCACTAAAACTTTTTGTTTTACCTTTAGTCTATGGCTGCTCTATAACCCCTGTCTGTTTTCTGTCTCTTTAGCAGAATGAGTTTGAATGTCTTATGTTTAAAATCTTAACTCCAATTTCTATATGATTTGTATTATTGAACTTATTAAAACTGAGCTTATTAAGCACTATATTTAAGTTTTAAGAAGTAGAGATTTATAATTTTATCATTGATACCAGCAACATTGTAATGTTTTTTTTTTTACGATTTCAGTATTTGTTTTCTGAGATAACTATTGTAAAAATGAGCTACAAAAACAGCTGTTACCTACAGATGCAGCCATTCAAAATGCATGGTAAAACCCCGTACCGTGCGAAATTATCTACAGTTTAGCGTGTTATACAACAGTACGTGATTGGCTTGCCAAAATGACCGACAGTCGGCACTTGTGGTGCATTGGTTGTTAGTGAAACTATTTAATCATTTAATCTCTTTACTGTGCATGTTTAAATCCGCTTGAATATTATATTATATATTGAATATTAATATGGAATTTTACAACTAAAGGGCAATTTTAGTAGCTCAGCATAAAAAGAAGAGGAGCGTGTCTGAAGGTCATAAACAATATTAATTTAGGAATATGAACATATTATGTAAACTGTATATGGCTGGTATTGGTAGTTTAAATAGAAAATACCCACCAGTATTCCACTTTCTTCCTAAACATTTTAAGCATCAAAGTCTTTAATTCGGTTACATACTCTGGTTATTTTGGAAAAGTTTTTACGTGCTCCTTCTGACTATATTAACTTTATATACTTCATAAAAAGTTATAATGTTTTAACCTTTTCTATGCATACTTGTGATTGTTGTGACAGTAAAAGAAATGCATACTTTTTAGAATTTGATTAATATAATATGTGATATAATTATATTCATATAGCTCAAATTATCACAGTAGTACACTTTCTTTGTAAACATCTGCATCAATTCGACTCATTCACCCTTGATTATTTGGAAACTTTTTGCCTGCCCTTTTCAGCTACAGCTTAAGTTGTCAAGTGGCAAGTTGGTGTAATGGGTTAGGTGTGTGCCTTGTATGCTGGAGTTGGGGGTTTGAACCCAACCGCTGCCAGGAGTTTTCTTTAAACAAATAAACATTTCTTTGAAAAACTAAAATAGTAAATATTATCGACACTATACTGACTTTATTGGTATTTCTAAATATCACACCACATTCAAAGTTAAGTGATTTATTAATAACAACTAATAATTTCAAACTGCTTGTATTTTAAAATTGTATTTTGTACAGGGTGATTTCTCACTGTTTTCACAAACTTCAATTTATTAAATGTCTATTTTTGAGACAGGGTGTTCCAGACCTCTGCTTAATTTCTGAAACTCCCTCTGTGTTCCATGTTTTAATCTTTTCTATGAATACTTGCTCTCGTTAGCACAGTAAAAAACCTCATACTTTTTAGAATCCACTAATAGGGAATATAATATGGAATCGCTTATCTAAGGAAATTAATAACGATATTAATTTAAGGATCTAAATATATGTATTTATATAGCTGGTAGTATTACTGTAATCCACTTTCTTTGTAAACGTGTTTTATTTTTAATTTGACTCATTCACACATGTTTACTTTCGAAACATTTTTAAGCTGTTCATCTCAGCTATGTTCGGGAGCAGCCCATTGGTACAGCGGGTTTGCTGATAGGGGTTCTATGTAGGCGATCCAAGTTCAATACCCGGTTTGGGCACTAGTTTTTCTTCTAACAAAGACTTTTTGAAGAATAAAATAGTAAGTATGATGTACACTATATTAACATTTTTTGTGTTTTTCATGTTCAATGTTAAGTGATACTAATAATGAAATAAAAATATGAATGACACGGAGCCTGCAACCTACAGATTTAAAGATTGCGTTTGTGAAACATTTCAGGGCTTTTATTTAAACAATATCTGGTACCTGTTTGCATTTTTAGAAACCTTAGTTTGAATAAAACTGATCCCAGGTGCAAGTGGCATAGGCATTATGCTATATTTTTATGCATCAAATAGTTAAAAATGGGAACAAGTCAGGCAGGTAAAGGGAAGGGGGAAAGGTGAAACTGTTACCTGTCCTTGATAAAGTGGTTAGAAAATAGGTGGGTTTACACTTGTAAAAAACATTGCAATTTCAATGCAATATGGAAGATATTATTAATAATAAATTACCTTGGATGGTCTGTAAACTGAAGATTTATAGAGGAGATGTTGTGTCTTTTCTTTCCAGCTTGGAATTAACTTTTACCTACTAGTATATTCCAATGCAGCCACTTTATGTAACGCAGCTCCATACTTCTCACAAGGCTTGGAGTGTTAACACCCCACTGTGTAATGTTATGTAGAATAGACAGTTCTGCCAGTTCTGGAGGATGGGAAGGAATTTTCAGTAACATGCTCTGTTGTCATTGTTGCTGTTTAACATAAGGCGGCCAGCAATCAAATGTCCTGTTTTTTCTTAACGCTTGTTTTTCCATACTGTAGTTTTAAAACTTGAACAAAGATGTGCCACATGCAAACAGTGCGATGTTGTATAGTTTTAAAGCCACTACAGCATAGCTTGTGGGATATACATTTATCAAAGTTTAACTCGTCCAGAGCGCCCAACATTACAAAGTCCGAGTTAAAAGAAACATTTCACAATATTTCCAAAATTATCACAAGTGAACGAGTTGAGGGATTTGATAATAATAGAGAAATTATAACAATATTCATGCAACCCAACTGAAAGAAGGACACTTAAATCAACATGAAAAGACTTTATATATATAAATCAGTTAAAAACACGTTTTATGCACAAAAAACAGGTGTTTTTTCTTCCGCGAGATCATCTTAGAGTCTTTGTGTGAGCTGTAAGTTCTTTTTACTTAATTTAACATTTTTAACACTTTAATTTTGTAAACACAACACGCATTCCATACGGAAATAAAATAATGTTTTCTACAGGTGTTAAGCAGATTAGCAGGTTGCTGACAAAATAGCGCACCGTCCACTAACTGTAAAGACCGTTCTACAGCTTCTATTTAAAAAAAATATAGAAAAGTTTCATCTATACAAATACCATTATAAATTGTTTTTTTCTAAATGTCACACTTAGTTAAAAATTTTATTAACATCCAAATAAGAAAGTCAAGTGTTTGCATAAACTAAGGGTGTGTGGGGAAAGTCTTCAATTTGGGCTTTGTATTCTTCACACCTGAAACATTGTTTTCTCTGAAAGCATTTTCTTCCCTCTTTAGCTGATATTTTGCTGCCTACGCGTGCTTACACAGCTTCCTACGTGAATTCTCGTTCTTGAGTGAGAAAGCTTTAGAGAACTTTACAACCCTTTTTATTTTCAACAAATTGTAAAAATGACTTTTACATTGGCGTTTTTGTACATTTTTTACTTAAGTGTATGGAGGAGTGTCAGCTGTCAAGCCACAAATAAATAAAAAAATAACCTTTTTTTTTTCTCCTGATGGTAACTGTAACAAATTGTCACATTTCACATCCTTGCGAAACAATCATGACGTTCTCATCCAATAAAACATTTGATGTTTTTTTTTATTTTGAAACTGGGATCTTGACATGCAGGTGTGAAGTAGAGTTAACAGCTTCAGAATAAAGAGGTTATTAATAATATATTCTGTGTCGCATTAATCTTGGAATGTTCTTACAAGTGTAAAAAGAGGCAATACACAACGTGTCTCCTCTGTAACTTTTCAGTTTACAGAGAAATTCCACCAGAGCCACACAACATGGTCTAATAATACTCCTCTTGTGGTTAATTTCCAGGGAGTAACCCTGTTACAAAAGGGAACAGCGCATCGGTCCTTGACTATGGTTAAACAGTACATACGATGTCTGGTGGAGTTTCAGCATTCACGTTTCTGTAATCTGTACAGAACCGTGATGTCTCATCAATGTTTGGTACCAATAAACAGGGGGAACTTCCTTCTTTGAACTCAACTGCGCTCCAGTAAATAATGTACAGTTTATCACCTTCTGCAATGCTTCTAGTTTAGCAGGATTTGTGCGATAAGCACATTTATAAAGGGTATGACATTACCCACATCTATATCACTGTACAACACAGGTTTGAGTGTCTGTTAATAAAACAGAGCACCTTCCAATACATATAACTACTTCATGATTTCTTTATCTGTTTCAGCTAAATGAGGGGCATTAAATCAGTCAGAATCTCAGAGTGCCAATTGTAACTTTGTTTAACTTAAAAGAATTTTGCGAAGAAATCCTTAATCACAATACAGTCACTTAATTTATCCAGATACACAAATTCACGCCAGTATTCACTATATAAGAAACAAACCGAAAGTGATACTCTGATCGCGCTTTGAACCATTGGGTGCAGTGCTTTGTCCTTTACCACTACAAGGACAATAAACGTTTTTTTAAAAGAAACAGATGTCAAAATGTGTCCGAAATGTCCACCAGTAATATTTTAGTTGCTTAGTTACATGAATATGTTATATGAATATGATTCCATATTCATATAACTATCAAGTGATGTTCAATAACTACAACATTTATCTTTTTACAACAACAGAAAGTGGTGTTCTTACTACGCATTCTTAGAAAAGGATAAAATGTTATAACTTTTTATGAAGTACAGAAGTTTAATAATGTTAGAACAAGCACGTTAAAACCAGATCCCACTGTAAGTTAACAAGTTAAAGACTTTGATGCATAAAATATTTATGATTAAATTATTTATGATGAAGGTGGAAGGTGGTGTAGTTTTGTCCAACTGAGCAATCTTGCTTTTATAAAATATACTGACATTTTAATGTTTAATGATTAACATGCTGTAATACACAGTTTAAAATTATTAAAGGTCTAAAGAGTATACAACTTAAATTCTTAATTGGAAAAAGATTGTCCCTCAGCAGTGACTGGGATTCAAAACCAGGCGTTTTCTGGCGACAGCTCAAAGGCTGTACATGAGACGTTAAGCTTTATTAGCTCCAACTGGCGGTTTTACAAGTTGCTTCCGGGTACCGTTATCATATTTCAATTATGCGGTATAATCCCGTATATTGCGCCACACCCACCGCATTTTAAGACAGCGTACCTTGCACATTTTGAATAGCTGGATCTGTAGAAACTGTTGTTTTCATTAACTACAAAATAATGAAATATACTGTACCATATTCAAAACACTCTGATAGGTATGTATTAACTTTTTAAGACCCAAATCTGCTGGATTATCTTCAGTATCTGTGGGAAAACAAATTTTGTTAGTCATCCATGTTCAACTTGTTTGGAGAAAGTTGTGAAGAATTCCAGAAGAGTGCCTGCTAAGGAAGCATCTGTAGGCACCACAGTGAGTTAGTGATGGACAGGAGAAAGGAATTAGTCAGATAAGACATGAGCTTATTAACAATGAGATCATGATAGCAGGAGACCTGTTGCAATATTTAAAAAAAACAGTGAAACAAAAGCTGCTCACTGTGAGTGATATAATTATATGGTTTCGGTATGCAGGTAGAGAATGATGTAAATAAAACATTACCATGGGGTGGGGTGTTGGCTCTGTGGCTAAGGATCTGCGCCTGTGGCTGGAAGGTTGCTGGTTCGTATCCCACGGCCGGCAGAGGAATGCTACTCCGTTGGGCCCCTAAGCAAGGCCCTTAACCCCAACTGCTCCAGCGCACTGTATAAATGGCTGACCCTGTGCTCTGACCCCAAGTTTATCTCCCTGTCCTTGTGTCTCATGGAGAGCAAGTTGGGGGGTGCGAAAAAAATTCCTAATACAAGAAATTGTATATGGCCAATAAAGTGATCTTATTACCCTTTCTGAATATCCTATGACAGTCTTTAAAAACATATCTAAAGCTTGAAAATGTTCAATGGTTATTTTGGTAAATAAAATCTGGTCTCAACAGAAATACCTTTTAATGTTTTTCTAAATTTGGCCAAGAAAAACATTAAACAAAATCTTCTAAACATATAAATTATTACAGGCTCTTTTATGATATTTGATTGTTGAAAACATATAGACAGACAAGCCTACATGTATACTCAATATATGCAGTATTTGCTGCAATAATAGAGGTCAGATAATACCTTGTGTCTAATAATAACAAATAGTAAAGAAGTAGTTAAAAAATACTCAAGGGATATCTTAAGAGTAAATACAGTACACAGTTTTCTAATATTTGCTTTTTTCAAGCTAAAATAACAAATACACTTGAATTGAAACTTTTAAAAGCCCTCTTTTTAGAATGTGCTTTAGTATTCAGTAGTCTCAGGAGAGCACAGTATCTGCTTGAATTTTCAAAACCCCTTAGGTTCTGGGAACAAACAGAAAGCAAAGAACATTTATGTAAGCAGTTAATTCTCTTAATAAAAGAAAGGCCAAAGCACTGCTGAATTTGAAATAAGTAAACAACTCAAAAGGCACCAGACCTTCTAACAGGCTTTTTTTCTCTATACAAACATATTTTACTTAAACATATTTGATCAGAAATGCTTTAACCTCATTGTCTTAAACAGTTAAGAATTTGAATATTTGTATATTTTAAAATAACTGTTCTCTAGGCATATTTCTTTCAAAAGTTTATCAAGTCTTTTTGTTTATATCTTGTTTCTTGTTTACAGCCATGTTTTAGTGAACAAAAGAAAACCAGCAACCTAGAAGCCTATGTGAAGTGGTTCAACAGGCTCTGTTATCTTGTAGCCACAGATATCTGCATGGTGTGTACAAATGTTTTTTCACTACAGTCTACTTTATTTGCTGTCTATCCAGAGAGGCTAGTGGTGGCTGTAGACCTTTGTTTGCAACGTGTGACACAGCAGTAGCATTACTGTTTCTCTTATATCAAGGATAGTAACTACTGCACAAACAACTTTCTGTACATTATGACTTTTTAAAACATAAATAAGTGGGAAGAAACAACATACAAAACTTTTGTGATTTCTTCCTAAACTATTAAAAATATAAACTATTTCAAAATGCATCTTTTCTTTTTGAGTTACATAAAAAATGTTTCTTGTTTTTTTTGGAGGCAACATACACATAAGACACAGCATGTGGTTTAGCCTAATTGTTATCTTGATTAGTTATTTCTTTATGATTAACAGGTTTTAATGGTTGATTATTCTTCAGGATCCATGCACTTCACTTATTGTATGTACTTTAGTTCTATGCTTCAATATAATGTTTTAGCGCCCCCTAGTGAATTACTTCACATATACTTAATCAGGTAATTTGTAAGTTTTCTTTTCAATGAAAAGGATTCTTTTTCTCCAAACTCAACTATATTGAAGTACCACTTGAGGTTTTTACAGCAGACTACACTAACAATAGTGCATCTGATTAAAAAATGACTAAGTTGTGCATTCTCACTTTTGAGAATTAGTGACTGTATATGAGTATTTGTTCTCATTTGACTTATGTGGTTAAAGAAAGGATGGCTGAAGTGTCAACTGACAGTGTGGAAAGCAGACGCAATGTTTTGGCCGTGGAGCCTTCTTCAGGTAAAACACACCTGAAGAAGGCTTCACGGCCGAAACATTGTGTTTTCTTTCTTCTCTTTTCAGCATGGAATAAACCTGTTACTTGTTACTTTGCAGCCTATGCATGCTGACGCAACTGACAGTGTGGTTCAATGTAACAACGTCTGATTGTTTCTTGCAGCCAGCAAAGAAGAAGCAGAGAGCACAAGTAATTGAGTTCTTCATCGACGTGGCTCGCGAGTGTTTTAACATTGGCAACTTCAACTCACTTATGGCCATCATCTGTAAGTTCCATACTGCACTGAATGGTGAAAATTAAAGCTTAACATCAGTAATGGAAAATGTGGCAAATTGGACAGGATTTTTTGTGCAAGTCAGCGTAAACCCCCTTTGCTTTGTACTTTCTCTGGATATTTCCTTTGTTAGAAGAGTAGGTGAAGTTGACACTCTGCATGTCTAAAGTTGTGACCACAGGTATGAAAAGCTTATCTCGTTCAGAAGCTCAAAGGAGATATTGCGGTGACAGAGGATTTGGCCCCATTGAAGCTTTGATTTTAACAAGTAAATAATTTAAACAGTGGTTCTCAAACTGTGGTACACAAGATGACCCTGGAAACGAGTTTTGTACACTGAAAAACTGGATATTAAAAATTGAATAATTAAAATTATGTAATTTTTTCATCTGTAATTTACTTAATCGGTTTCAGAAAGCTTGAGATGGGTTTTCATATTTTCAATTTTAATAAGATTAGTTTATGTTCAAATATCTAAGTCGATACAGCGCAGGCTAAAACTTGAGTGTTCATACTCCTCTTGAGCTTTCAGAGACAGAGCTTAGCGCCACATTTGCCAACAGAACAAATGATAGAAAATAAATACTTTTCAAAAATCAAGTATTATGTCATGGCTGAAAGGAATAGACGCCAAGAGTACTGACGCCAGTTCCGATAGATCACGCACACCTGTTGGGAACAAGGAGGATAATACATTGGCCACTAACACTAGCTCTGTTGCTGAACTTGACACAGACAGCACTGTTAGTGTTAGGAAGCGTCAGAAAATGGCTACAAGTGCTCAGTGCTATTTTTATTATATGTGTGTGTGCGCACACGCTCATGTTGGTCATTGAGATTTTCTGTGGTTCCTATGAGAAGATGACTTATAGGTGGTACTTGGATGCTTTGGTTTGATCAGGGGTGGTGCTTGGTCCAAAAAGTTTGAGAACCACTGATTTAAATTGTTGTAGATACAATTAGGGACCTTTAACACTGCATCCCTGTAAGGGGAATATTAAATGTAGTTTCTCACTATTCTTTAGGGTCTACTATAAGTGACCAATTTCCTGTGAAATGTATGTGAAACTTCATTATACAGTAGCATTAGAAAGAAAATTAGAATTTTTGCATTCTTGTTTAAACTTCAATGGACCATTTATTGGCACAATCATACTTTTCTTTGTTTCTGTCCTGATATGATTCAGAAAATGTAAAACTTTCAGGACAGGTGGATTTCACAACTGTAGTCAACAGTTTATTATACTAGGAGGTTTTAAATCTGTGGTGTGTATTACGATGATGAGCACACATTTTGTAATCATAAGACATGCACATTTGCATCCTTGAGCTGACCTGGTTATATCCACTCTGTATATACATATATTTATTTCTCCTGTTCTTTTAGCTGGCATGAATATGAGTCCAGTATCACGGCTGAAGAAAACCTGGGGAAAAGTTAAAACTGCAAAATTTTTCATTTTGGAGGTAAATTCTGACCATATTCCTCATTTCATACTTCTGCAACTCCTTCATTATGCCAAATGCCTGTGTGAGCATGTTTTTTAAGTATTCAATGAAAAGTTATATATCTGATTATACTTCAGAGCTTTAGCTGCCTGCTCAATATCTATTTCAAGGAATCATATATCTTAAAATTTCATGGTTTGTAACATTTAACGTTCTGTCATTAACTCTCAAGGCTGGAGCTATTAAGACTGAGATATTTAAACTAAAACCTTTACTTACTGTTGATTAGTTTGTTAAGCAATTGGGGTACACTAACATTATTCTTAGAGAATATTCTGTCTCTTCCACTATGCAGCATCAAATGGATCCTACAGGAAACTTCTACAATTACAGGACTGCTCTGCGAGGAGCAGCGCATAGATCACAGACTGCAAACAGCAACAGGGAGAAGGTAGAGCATGCTCAAAGAATATTAAAGGCTTTCAAGTGTTAAATTCAGTGAAATATGTTAAATCTTATTATCTGTTGACACCTCCAAGTCACTGTTTTTCACTGGATGTAGAAAGCCTTTGGAAACTAGTATACACTTGAAATCATCCTTGTAGTAACTGGACTTCTTTAAGTTTAAGTACAGCAGCAATACCTTCTTGTAGCCCAATGTGATCAGATCTGAAATGCTAAGGAAGGCTTGGTCTTGTGTCTAGTTGTTTGTGGACTACTAAATGTAACTCTTTATTTTAAAAATTTGAAATCCCAAAAATGCGCCTCATTATGGAAGGCCATTTTGCAATTTAGCAAGTAGGAAGTGCCAAACTTTATATGAGACATTAAATTGAGGTTCTAAATATTTGGTTGTTAAAGATCCCTTGGCACTGTTTGTTTTTGAACAGAGGTGTCCACTATATCCTGGCTAAATTCCACTTTATGTTTACATAAACTTGCCCACCTAAAGTTCCTCCTTAATTGAATTAGCTAAGCAGTCTCTAAGTTCTCTGCATGATTTGCTCATTCTAAGAAGGAACAGAAACTGCACTTTTGTTATCTGGTAATTATTAGGACAGTATGTTCAAGGTGCATGGACATCATTTTTGGACATCACTAAGAATGTGATAAGGCGATCTGTTTGGTAATCATGCACCAAGAAAAACTTTCTGAAGTAAAGTTTTCTTCTCCTTTGTGTCATCTCAACTCTCCTGGTTCACAAAGTAATAACTTCTATTTTAATGAAGCAAGGTGATTCCCCCAGTTTTGAAGATTCAACTTAAGACTAATGGCAGTATTTATTGTATTATTGCACTCTTATATTGACCTCTACTGCCCACAGAATACAAATAAGTCCTTTAGGTCTGCTAGGATACAATGGAGAGGTGGAAACTCTTATTTAACAAAGGCAGTTAAGCCAGAAGTTTCTTTCTGCTGAATTAAAAGAATACATTTAAATTTTAGATATACAGTCATAAACTCCCCTTTAACAGCAAATGTAGCTGGTGCTGTTTATTAAAAACATGCACAGCAGAAAAAATCATTCTGACCTTGTATCAAAATTGAGAATCCACATTTTACAGTGAATGATCATTGTATTAACATTTTTCAAATAAACAATAACCAACGATAGTAATTTACTGCTTTTCTAATTTTCCATTCCAGATTGTTATTCCATTTTTCAGCTTGCTAATTAAAGACATTTATTTTCTGAATGAAGGATGTGCAAACCGTCTACCTAATGGACATGTTAATTTTGAGGTAAGGACATAAACACTACTCAAAAGTTTTATTGCACTGACATTGACTCCTTCGCCCCCTTCAGAGAGAAAAGCAGATCCCATTCTCCAAGGCCACTTTGGACAAGTAAGGGCATATACTGTACATCAGTTTCATCACCTACCTAGGCTGCTGTGAAACCATGACCTTTTCAATTTTGTTTCCCTGATAAGAATAGTTTACTTTAGCAAATGTATTTTTTAAAACATAATGCCTTCTGTTTTGATCTTGCTTCTACCTGCCATTAAGAGCAAATGACATTGAACATGTTTCCATGAATTTATTAGTGTTATGCAATTAATTTGGGCTGGCTTTAACTTGTACTGCCTTGATTCTTGAACCATGCTGTTCGTGCAAAAACATAACTGTGAATTGTACAGAAAACAAATAATGTTCAAGAGTAAAATTGTAACCAACAGCAGGAAAATCAAGTACAGAGGTTGGAGAAAACATGTTAATCCTTTATTTGAATGTTGCTGCATAAACACTTCATAATCCCTTCAGAACTGCTACACAAGACATTGTAATTACATTCAGAATACTTTACAGAAACACGCACCGATGACGTAACGTTCATAAGAGGTCATAACATTATGTCATTACTGTACATATGTTCCTGTAAAGAATTATGCATGTGATTATAATGTCTTTTGTACCAGTTATGAAGGAATTATTAATCAATTATGTAGCAACATTCAAATAAAGTGTTACCAAACTATTTCAGTTAATTCCAAACTTTGTGACAAAATGTCAGACCAGAAGTACAGTACATGATTGTGGTCATTCAAAAAAACATGTTATCAGTTTATGATTACTGGTGCCCCTATAACTCTTAACATGATGAAATTTGTTTTTTAATTCATTGCCTGTGTCTCCATATAGACCCTGTCCCCATATAGACAGATGATTTACTGGTTCATTTACAGAATGATATTTGGGAAAAAACCTTCCTATTTGCAAAATTTAAAGTAGTTATCAATGCAATCCTTCAATTTAAGATGTAGTTCTTTAGTCAACCTAAACTTCCCAAGAGCACTTACTGGCTCTGAGCGCAAATTATTGCAATTTGCTGCTGCCAATAACAGGAGCAATCTGCTGAGTGGGCAGATACTACCATCTTTGCATCTGAGGGTGCTTTCAGTTGTATGATTAACTATCTTCTGCCTGACACTCGGCACTTGTTAACATAGACCTGTATTGTTATGTGATTTACATCTTATTGATCACTCTGTTCTTTTTTGCACTGCTCTATTTTGCTTTGAGGAAAAACTCAGTTTCACAAATGTTCTGCAGATTTCTAGACAGGAAGAACTCCATTCTTCAGTTACACAGTAAAGCTGAATTAAAGTTCAAGCATTAAAATGTTGCATGTCTTTATAGTACCTATTTACTCAGCTACCACTCTCATTTGTTCACATTTACACAATAATTGAAATGTTCCCTAGATTATTTTGCCCTTTATATCATTCCAAAGAAATAAAAGACACCCAACATAGAGTACAGATGCTTGCCATGAAGGTTCAGGGCTAAATACAATTTTCCTTTATATAACGGTTTTAATTTTTATCATATTTTTATTGTACTGTTAGATTTCACAACTGAAATGAAAAAGAATCAGAGTAACATTCCTAAACAACTTATTGTGAAAACATTTTAGTGAGTGGGGAAGTAGAGACTGCTAAAAGAACAATTGTGCTTGCTCCGTCTGGAAATATTAAATAGCTTTCTGTTTTCTTCCATTTATTTTGTCCACAGATAATACTTCTTGTATTTAACATGCATAGTGTCATTGTGTTCTGACTGCTCCTGTATTTTTAAGAGAACATCTTCAAAACATCTTTCAGAATTAGTAGGATGGTTAGATTTAAATTCTCATAATTATAGCACATTTCTATCCTTTGAATGCCATTTCCTTATACAGTATATATTTGTTAGGTTGCTCCTAAGTAATTTAACATGTTGAAGACTATACAGTACTTGGTAAATTACCTAACATCTGCTCACTTTTAAACATGGAAAAATGCCCTTAAATTTGTTACTTGTTAGAATGCCTTTCCTCAGTCTAGTGTACTACTAACACTTAAAATGAGGAAACAAAAAGTAATATTTAGATTAAATGTAACTGATCTAATTATGTAATCTTTAACTACTTCAGCTTTGTGTAACACTGAGTTATTTCCCATAGACAACTCTTGACTTGTGACTTAAATTCTTTAACCAAACTGCTATTAGCAAGTTACATTTGCACTAGAACTGGCAACAAAGAGTCTATAATAATCCTGGGAGAAACAGTGCTTCTGAGAACATTGGATAAAATAACAGGGAAAAGCAGTTGAACAAATATTTTCATACTTAGAATTTAAAAAATACCACAGTTCAGTTGTTAGTTCTGAATACAGCTTTGTCAAAGGAGGCACCAGATAGACAAACTTTGAAAGAGGAAAAAGAAATACACTGAACTATACATACTGTATATTTCAAGTTAGGGTCTACTCCTCCTCCACCCTGTCCCCAGAGTACCCTTCATATAGCCTCCCACGTGAGAATGTGCCTCTCATCATGTACCAATTAGGCAATTGATAAACTAATTCACCTCAAGAGAATCTATATACAAATTATTATGGCCCAAACGATTTAACAGAGATACTGTATATTGACTAACATGATCTTGTGACATTCTTTTTTCATAAATTAAATTTAAAGGTTATTTGAAACAGATGTCCAGTGCTTGTAGCTAAAGAGATTTAGCCAATATCTCTATTGTAACGTCCATAACTAAAAATGTAAAGAGGATAGCACCCATCTGCCATAGTCAAGAATATGGAATATCATTAACCTGAGACATTAAAAGTTAATGATTACTAAAAAAATGAAGGCTCTCTTTCAAAATATACAGCTGCAGCCGTATAGAAAAATTATTTGAGTTTGTCTGTCTTTTTATAAAAACATGAGATTTCAGTTTACTGTTATTGCATAAAGAGCCAGAGCTTTTGGAAAAAAAAACTTTTGTATTTACAAGTACACATTTACAGATAATCCTACAATGACACACTTTAGCACTATTACTTGTTGTTCTGTTCTAGAAATTCCTGGAACTGGCTAAGCAGGTGGGAGAGTTCATGACCTGGAAGCAGGTGGAGTGTCCTTTTGAACAGGATAGAAACATCATCCACTACCTGCATAATGCTCCTATTTTCAACGAGGATGGTGAGGTTTACAGTAAATAGGCTGTATACTGTATGCTGTTCCTTAGTGAACATAGGTTAGTAACGGTGATGTTGGTAATGTGTTAAAATGCTCCGTACTTGTGTTAAAAATGACCTTGCCTTGTATTATTGGTGTAGTGGTAATAATATTGTGTTCACTGTAATTTTTTCTATTTGTGCCTGATAGGCCTTTACCTGGCATCCTATGAAAGTGAAAGCCCAGAAAACCAAGTAGAAAAAGACAGGTGGAAATCTCTCAGGTAAGATGTCAAATCAAATGGTTTTAGATCATGTTTCAGAAAGAGAAAATAAGGCTGTATCTGTTGAAGGATTTCTCAGCTGACAAGAGCACAGTTGAACATCTATCCATTCATTTTCTTATCTTATTATCCTCAGAATCATCTACAACTAGCAAGCAAGTGTGGTAAATATATTGAATGGCCACCTCTATTGTTTTTTTTTATATATATCTGTTTTTATACCTACTACCCAGAATACTGTATGTTGACCAAGAGCTACCACCTGATCAGTGCAGAATGCCAATGCATTTGCATAAGAAAGTGTCAGTACTGCACTGCTTGATTAGCTCTGACATGGATGTGAGCATTCTGCTAACCCTTTTCCTTTCTTTTAGATCAACAATCCTGGGCAAGACATGAGAACAACACTGCAGAAAATTCTTGAAGAAAAGTATATGTTCTTTGCACTAAACAGACTGTGAAGGAACCTAGCTGGTACTTAGGTACTTGTATTATAAGTATGATGAACAGGATTCATCATGCCACCAAACAAGGAAAAATGTACAGAGCTGTACAGTACAAGAAAATACTAAGGATTTGAGATGCCCTTACAAAGTGTTAGAATGTTTTTGCTCTTTGTTCTAAATCTTGAACTGGGACCAGACTTATCAGATGTATATATAGTGAACTTTTTCATTGCTGTTGTTGCTCTTGCTGTTGTTTATATTCATCATCTTTGAAATGTGCTGATTTACCTTGCAAAAGCAATCATTTGCTTTTAGTTTTTTTTCTCCCCTAGATGATGGTGTGAGTCTTGTTAATGTACTATACATTATTGACTAACTTTGATAGTTGGGGTGCTATTTTGCCCTTTCTGTGGGCCTGGGCACCAAACTGCCCTTCTGAAACAGAGTCTTGAATCTAAACTGTGAAAGCACCCCCATTCTCACTGTAGCCAGACATTCTGTAAACAATTCACTTGTCTGCTGAAAAAGCCCTCCAATAATAAGGATTTATAATTAATAATCTATAATGAACTGTATTAAACCATTGTGTGCTCAAAATTCCTATACCATTTACTACTGCTGTACTACAAGCTTAATCTTGGAAAACATTTTAGGGCTGCTCTATGTTAAACTATGATCTAGTAAACTACAATAATTACTACTACAGAGTATGTTGCCTTGCAAAAAAGGTAGAGAATATCTCTAAATAGCAGGTTTGACCTTCACCAGTAGCAATTATAGAACCCACTTAATGTTCTGAGAAACAAAAATCTTATAAAATGTATTACCATGTTTTGCCTGAGAGCAACTTTGAGGTCACTTTGAACAGCACCACCTTCTTTTCCCATTAATTTCTTGGGAAACAGCCTTAACAAATCATTTCAGATACTGTTTAGGCCAACATACATCATGTGGCAAACATTAATATTATAGCAGGAACAAATAATAGAAGCATGTAATTCAGAGAAACAAAAACTCACCTCAAGAAAACAAGTAAATGCAGGTGATGTAGCCAGCTTCAAAATAATCAGGATTTGATTTAGTGTAATCCAGAACATCATGTTGCATTATTTTAATTTGTATTTTAGTTTCCTCCTTTTTTATTGTTTCTATCATCTGATAAGTGTATCTTCCATTTCAAATCCCTATCATTTGATCCAAAAAAATGGCCCCAAAGTTAGATGAGCCATGCTACTCTCTGCTGTGGTTTTGGGTCACCTGCTTCTCATGTGATACTCTTCACTCTTCACAAGATCCATTTATGGAGAGTAAACTATTAGTGTCAGGTCCTCCATTGGGAAAAAGAGAGAAGTTACTGAAACAGGAGCACTTCCAATCATGGGAAGATTCTAATAGACTGATATTCAGTTGTGTGCTCTATCTTTGAGAATTCTGTAATACACAGATGTACTTTTAAAAATATTTTAGCACTCTTGTAGCATGCTGAGAGATATGGGCATTGTACTTTTCTAGTGTAACACTGAAGATGAAAGATCTCTCCCAGGTAGCTGTGTTTTAGTAATGGTTTTTAACATTTGGGTAAATGTGAATGGCTCTCCTTCCTTAAGAACATTTATAAGAGCTAGTTGATGGAAACAAGGTGATATCATTAAAAAGCATGTAAAAGACTTTCTTCTCAAAAGAATTTGCATAATATATATACAACATATGTTCATTTGTGCTGGAAACAAAAAATGTTTTGAAATGATTCTTGGACACAGTTTGCTGTGACCTCTAATGTCCTCTGCACTTGAACTTTATTGTTGCTACTGTATGGATGATTGCTGAGCTGTATTAATTTTATTTTGGTGTATTTGAAATCTTGTGGAAAGGGAACAACGTGTTTATTTTTAAAAAAGAAAAATGTGTTTTTGTTAAATTTGCCATTGTAAGAATGCAGCACAAGAGTGGTGTTTGTCTGTCATACTTACTTCATCTTAAGTATTATTACATTTCTTTTGTAATTGAATCATTGAGGATTATGTTATTAATTTTTAAAGCTGTAATTATTAACTAGCCTTTAGTTATTTCTTGCTGTGGGGGATGTGGGTAAAAAAAGAAGACACGACATTGTGCAGACATTTGTCTTGCACAGTATAAATACTGCAAACCATTTTGTGCATATCTACTGTAGGTCTTTTGTGTTTTTGACTTTTGAAAGTTATCTATAATAGTTTAACCCAGTAGTTCCCAACACGCAGGAACACCCACATCTGTGAGTTTTCTCTCCAGATGAGATCAGAAATTTGGAAAGGTGGAAACATATTTACAAATATGCCCCAAATGGAAAACAGAAATCTATTAGTTTGTGACCAAGAACTCAAGCTGGAGAATTAACAATACCATATAGTGTTACTCCTGAATATGGTTTGAAAACCACTGGGTGTCAGAGGTTGTTGGCTGATGTAGTAGATTAGAAGATATGCATACAGCAGAGTCCCAGATGGGCATTTTTAAAATGTTGCTGTATTAAAGAGAGAAGAACAATGCAACCTTTTTATCTATGTAAAAAGGATGTTGATCAGAAACCTTGTCTCATTAATCAATTAAAAAGCTTTGCTTCAGAACACAAAAACTCAGATTCCCAATTTCACTGTGTTGCTCTACAGCTCACAATTATTGCACATCATCCTTATGAAGTTAAAAATGGTTAACCTTTGCATTTGTACAGTCAGAGTATCCTGTCAACATCCTTCTTACAGAGGTGGCACCCAACTCTACCAGACTGAAATAAATGAAATTCCTCATTAGTTGTTCAAGTCAACAATTTTCCTGGAATGCAAACAACAGAAAATGCGGCATTTGTAGAAAAGTGATTACAAGATTGTTAACTTTGAGAGATAGCATTCATTATGATGTTTACAGAAGATGTGTCTGGCTTTTTTTTTTTTTGTGTGTTGTTTTTTCTTGTTTTGTTTTCTGTCTTGATTGGAAGACTACAGCAATCCTCTTTCCTTTCCTCTCAAGTGTTTACTAGGAGATCTGTGTAAAGGTGTGAGGTGGTAGACAGTGGTGGTAGTTGTGATGTGGAACACAGGGCTAAATACAGGGTCTTTACTTCTTTTCTAAATTACAGCCATAAACATTTTTTCTTTTGTAAATCTGCCTAACATATCTAAGATGACATACTATATCTGTATCAGTGAAAGAATAATGTTTCAGGATGAAAGCTGCACAAATATGACTATGTGGACATAGCTATCCCCTTACACCAATATTCATGTGAGCATTTTTTATACTTATAGGATAATAAGTTGAGTATTATACTAATCAGTTTATCTCTCTGGAACAAAACATGAAATTAGTTGTTTCTTAGGTGTTGTTTGACTCCCATCCCAGTTTTATAATAACAGGCACCAGTTGTCTTTCACTTACTGTAGAGGCATTTAACAACCAACCATTGGGTGTAAAAAGACAGAGGAAAATCTGAAAATGTTTTTAATATCCATGGCTTATGGGAACAATGATTTCTTTATCGAAAAAACACAGGCTAATCTGATCTGAGCTGAGGGGCAGAGGAAGTTGGAATGTGCCTGGGTATGATGGTGCATGTATGATTATGCATGTGAGTGTGATTATGTGAGTGTGCAGCATGCATCTGGCAGTGATACTCACATGGTGCCTGCTGTTTGTACCTGTGCTTTCCTTATGTGTGGCACCTCTAGTTGCCCTGCTACAGGTCCTAAACTGAACCTAAACTGTACTCTGGTCACAAGCTAAGTAACCTCTTGCCTCCTTTTGACCTTAAATTAAGAATTTTGAATGATAACAGATTAGCTGCTATTTGAATTTTTTATTGGACTCTCTCGTTTTTTAACTTACAGGAAAGGCCTAACATCAAAAACTCTTTCTAAAATGAAAACTCTAGAGACTTTAAGGTTATTCTGTAATCAAATCTGAGTTCTCTGTTTATTACTCACAAACTACACAATCCAAAGAGATTTTAAGATTTCTATGGTGAGTCACATATACTGTATAGGGTGTATAAAGGAGAATAGGTACGTAATAGAAAACCTAATTCCATATAGGAAATTTTAGTGCTTCACTGTCTTTGATTTTCTAAACCATTATTTAACCAGATATGTCTATTGAAAACAAATTTTAATTATACTGATAATCAACAGAATGCTCATCTATACAGCAGAGCTCTTACTGGGCCAATGTGAATAAAGTACTTTGATCAAAAGTACAGCAGCATCACACACAGGATCTGAACCCAAGACCTCAAGTCTAGAGTCCTAACAACTCCTCCATGCTACTGCCACTCCATAATGTTAATAAAGAATTAATTCATGTAGATGCATAATCAATACATGGTTATCCCTATTCACAAAGAATGAACATATTTTGTTGCTTGCTCTGCAATTTTGAAATTTATTTTTTATTAGCTTGATAAACTGTATTTTCCAGTTGGTAGACCATTGGTTTTGGTTTAGGGTACAGATCATCTCATATTTAAGTGCCCTGGTGGCACTATGACATTGAAAAAGTCTGTTGTCCATAAAAATAGATAAACTATTTGAACAAAACATAGAAATGTGTCCATAGTATTGTTGTTGTTTTTTAAATATTTTAAGGGAACATTTCACAAGAAAAAATGGTCCCTGATGCTTTGTGAATAGGTACTGCTGTGATGTTTGTGTGACTGTATTGTTTTTTTGTATATTTTTTTAGTTCATTTGCTTCTTATTTAGACCCCAATCCATCCCGGACAATTCCTGCCTCTGCTGTTATCTTTCAACACTGCTTCAACTGATGTTTTCGTGTTTATAATTTGTATATTGACTGTGTAATTTATACTGTGTTTTAACAGTTTGCCTGAGATGTCACTAATTTATAATTACTTTTTTGTAAAGTGAGTGCTCAAAATTGTCTATGAAATAAAATACAAATTGAAACCCTGTATTATTTTTTATTTTATTTGTGTGCGCTCTTCCTCTTGCTTGTATTGTGTGGTGAGTTAATGTCATTCTTTACATGATTATACTCACTTGAGATGGCTATGATGACTTTATTTTTCTTCTTAATCAGGAATGAATTCCATATAAAGGCATTTTCACTGGAAGCTGTGCACATTTTTATTGTACTTGGACCATTAATTAGTTACATGAAAAAGTTCACTTCTTGTGATTCTTAGCCTTGCAACCCAACTCTTTCCACAGGCTAAATTTGAGTGAAGCTTTGGGGACTACATTCTCTGCAGCTGGAAATGACTTCTTGTATTCCACAGTTACTAAAAAATATTTCTAGCTACTTTCAGCTTTAATAAATACTGTTTAAAACTCAAATAGATGCTCAGATTCAGGAGCATTCCTATTTTAGGTTTCCCATTATTCAAGATTTATTTTAGACGTTCCTTGTATTTGATATTATTAGGCAAGCATAAAATTAATAAAATAGCAATTGTAGCCATCAATCCTTATCAACACATCTCAAAAGTCACACAAGATAAGTAGAGAATGCAGATTGTGAGCTTCTCAGGCAGTAGCTTTAGTTTATTAGCATAAGGATTATAGGCTTCAAAGAAGTGACTGAAATCATGTCTTTTTTTTTCTTCACACTCTTAAAACTGCTGGCATTCTGAGCCTTTGCAGCTTGAGAATTTAACACCAGATAGGTTTAGTTTGACAAAAGAGCCATTAAAATTGTGAGAATAAAGGTCCTGTGTCAACCAAGATGATGGCCTGACATACAGTATATACTGTATATATTTAAATATATATTTAACAAACTTTCAAAATCTTATTGTTAGGAACTATCACAATTGAATTCAAATTCACACTTGCTACAGTTAATAAAGCTTTTAAAATCTGCACATTAAAAAATGATAAATCTACTTCTGTCCCTGCAATGGCAATGGAATAGTGGCCTATCACCCTAACTACTCCTGCTCAAAGATGTGAGGTTTAAGTTTGGCCAGTTAACCTTGGATATTATAAGACCTGGTCATTGTTTAATAGTAGTATCACCAGGATTAACATACAGTATGTGAAAAAAGTACCTGAGAATGTGTCAGGTTCAGAATGACTCAGAATGGCTTTATTATTGATGTCCAAAATGTCCAAAGCTTCAACAGGAGGACACTAGCTCCTGTTGGTTTATCCCTATTTAAACTCTAATGTTTATAAACCATATTCAACAAATTAAGTCAAAACATATTGATTATCTTTTCCCTGTGCATACCATTAGCATCTGATATCCAATTGTTCCTATATAAAATAGTGTCTTTTGGCCACCATTTTGTTCTCACACCTCAAACTGCCACTGGTATTGGAAACCACTACACCTCAGGAATTTCTGTGATCATTTCTGTTGTTCACAGCAATGCATGAAGGCTGTTTAAGCAACCTGTTCCTGTTCAAGGCCTGTTTGGCCAGTTACTACAACTCAGTTACTATATGGCAAAATGGCTTCCGTGGTTAAAGCATAAATCACAATGGCCCCTTGGCTGCTTTTTTTTGGCAACATTAAAATGATTATTGTTTCAGAACTGGAATACTACACTGATTCACTTGGAATTTTGGTTTAACAGCTTAAGAACTGAAACTTGGCAGTTGCAGTAGTACTTAATGCCCACATCACGTGATCACATAGTGACCTAAATGAATCCCCTAATGATGGCACCTCGTATTTAAAAATGAACGGCCTATAAACTACACATTTTGTCGTTATAACACTAGCATTTTTAAAACTTTTTACTGCACTTCTCACTGACTGTATTTACTGTTGTGTATTATTCTAAAATTTCGTTACACTGTGCTGTATTGGCTGTATTTGTAAGACCCAAACTGTTCTTTACTCGTCTGAATATTCGATACGAGAAAAAAAGAGTGAAAAATTTCTACGGAAGGTCAATGTAAGAAACTGCATGTCCCATAGACCTATGCTGTGAAAGCAGAATAAGGGATTGTGACGTCTGAATACGTGACGTAATTAAATAATCTTGGTATTTTTTCCGAGGAAAGTTCTCGGTGGTCACCATTTTGAGGCTGGTGTTTGAAGGGTTGAGAGTGTTTGAATCAGGTTAATGGTTCCGTCGAGGTCTTGAAAATATTCAGCGTTACTACTTTTCAGGGAGATCACGTATTATTTTAGTTTTTACCAGAGGTAAGCATATTGTAGAGGTTTTTAGTGGATGACTTAGTGTATATTTTTTTTCCTTTCACGGATACAAATATAGGCCGGGGGGGTTTAATGGCGGATTGTTTATAATTTGGACTTGATAATAGATTTTTTCCACGATGTTTTTAAAGTGCAGACTTGTATTTTGGGTTAGTTGAACTTAAGATATCTGCATTTATTTAATTGAAAACCGTACAATAACCAAATAAAATTACCGTGCATCGCTACCTCTGTTGGTTTTCCGTAACAACAAAGCCAAGATGGAGGATACTTGAGCGAAGCCCAGGATAAGAACAGCAATCGTATAAATGAAAGAGCTGCACACATCTCGTCGATGTATATGTGCTTATCGGGGCCCTGCACAATTGATTTGAGTTGTCGATACATCGTTTATAGTGTAGTTGCGTACTGGGTCACTGTATTTTTGCGTGCATGTCTCTTCGTGGTTTTATTTCTCTAATGTTACAAGTCATGATGACGCAGACTAACGGAATTATTATGCGCTTCGTGTTGTATTGACACGTAAAGGTACGAAGTCTGTATCATGGATGTTATACGGAAATGTTAATTTAAACTTTACATCGAAGGTAGTTTATTGTAAACTAAGGTTCAATTCTATAGTTGAAAATTGAAGATTGCATGTTGTTGACGCGACGAGGGCATACAAGGGCATACAGCGCGCACTTATGAAAAGACACCTTTGCATAACCTTCAGCTGTTTTTTTAAGCGAGTATTTTCTTTGTTGGAAGCGAGGAGACATGGTTTAGGTTGCCTTCGGGGTTGGCTGTTGACAGTAAACGACGTGAATTTTTGAGACGGTTCTGCCGGTTTTCCGAGTAGTTGTGCAGCGAGAATAGCGACTCGGAATGGAAGCCTGTTGGGTAAACAGCTATGGCTACGGGGAGATTTTGTAATGCCGTGTTACAAAATCTTTAATTTCTCAGATTGTTGAATTTGGACGGAGACCGTTTCTTGGTTTGCAGATGCGTAACTCCAAGCGAGTGCATTCTCCGGGGTGCTGGATCAGAGACGATAGCTGGGAGGAGAAGTACAGCAGCTGTAAGCGGAGGAAGCGATCGCACAGCAGCGAGAGGGAGAACAGACCGAGCAGGCACAACCGCCATCATAAAACCTCAGAAGGGTGAGTAGGCGTCATGTAATGGCTGACTGTTCTCGTCTGACTGGATTGTTATCAGTGCATACTGCACCCATGTATTCAAGTATTGCGATTGGCATAAACAATCGCTTCCTTCTTAATTACCGACTGGCGAGGAAAGTGAATGTGATAATTGTTTTAGATGTGATCGGCTCAGACGGCGCGAGTGGAAAACTTCAGCAGATGGAATTGATAAGAATGAGAATTAGTGAGCTAGGTTAAAAAGCATAGGTCATTTGTAAATAGGTCTGTTCAAGCTTGGTTTCAGGAGGCTGCAATGCTTTTTATGCATTACCCCCCAAAATAGATGTGAACAAAAGCAGTACACTGTCAGAGGTAATTACAAATAAGAACAGTTAATTTTTCAAAATGTTTTTGCTTTTTTCCCCATTTATTTTAACGGAGTTGGAGTAATAATAATTCCTTACACTTATATAGCACTTTTCTGGACACTCCACTCAAAGCGCTTTACAGGTAATGGGGACTCCCCTCCACAGTCACCAATGTGCAGCATCCACCTGGATGATGTGACGGCAGCCATAGTGCGCCAGAACGCTCACCACACATCAGCTATCAGTGGGGAGGAGAGCAGAGTAATGTAGCCAGTTCATAGAGGGGGATTATTAGGAGGCCATGATTGGTAAGGGCCAATGGGAAATTTGGCCAGGATGCCAGGGTTACATCCCTACTCTTTTTGAGAAATGCCCTGGGATTTTTAATGACCACAGAGAGTCGGCGCCTCGGTTTTGCGTCTCAACCGAAGGACGGCGCCTGTTTACAGTATAGTATCCCCATCACTATACTGGGGCATTAGGACCCAGATGGACTGCAGGCTGAGCGCCCCCTGTTGGCCCAACTAACACTTCTTCCAGGCGCAACCTTAGTTTTTCCCAGGAGGTCTCCCATTAATATCATGTAAGCAGGAAGTGCAGTATAGCTGAAGAGGAAATGGGGGTCCAGGAAATATTTAGCTCAGGCTTAATATAGATGTCCTATTTCTGCCCTTTCAGGGGCTTTAACAGGATGAAGCTGTGGCAAAACAAGTTTAGACATCTCAGACTGTCTAGTACAAGTGTTGGTAACATACTGAGTTAGTATATTATATAAAATCGCAGAAAGGCAGATCAGAGAGCAGGTTGATATGAAATGAGTCAGAATGAAAGTGGTAAATGTAATTGTTCAAGGTTGATTAGGCACAAGGTTAGTTGAGCTTAAAAATCCAAACTGAGCAGTTCAGTGATATGAAGTCTGACTCATGAAATACCTGTTTCTTGAAAAAACAATACTGTTTGACTTTTTTAAAATGTAAATATTTTGTGTTAAATGAGTTACTGATGTAAAAAAATAATACTTTTTTGTTTTCCCTACAGGCATTACTTGGAGTCAAAAAGCTTGAATGAAAAGCTGGACTGTAAGGACAGGAGAGGTCGTAGGTGCAGTAATGACGTCTCTTCAGGTTATGACAATGGGCATTTAAAGGACAGAGACTGGCACCATTACAGCAAGTCCTCAGGCCACAGTGGAAGAAGCAGGAGAAGCAGCCGTCCCTATAGGCGAAGGGGAAGAGAGAGCTTCTCTGCCTATCGTTCCTATTCGGTATGAACATTTTTAGCTTGTCTGTTGTATGTTCAGTCTCTGGTTTAGATGAATGGATTTTTGTCTTCTGCATATAAAGGCTCCATCTTGTGTATCTTAGGTGTTTTAAAAAGTTGAATCCAAGAGAATGCATGTCTGCAATATTGTACAATATGAATATTGGAATTAATATTGTACCTTTAGAGCATATATCCTGTTATGCTGGGCTTTGTGATTATTTGTGAGATACTTATAATGTTTAGCTGTTGAATTAATGTAATGAACTAGGAGCCTTCACTGGTCCTAGAATGTCAGAATAATCAACTGTATTGAGTGATTGTAGGGGGAATGAGGTTTAAAAACGCATTTGGGATTTAGCTTCTCATGGAGAAATGAAAAGGGAAGACCATTTGTTTATTAAAGTAAACTTGTGAATGTCTCCTCATGAAAAATCCTTATTTAAGAGAATTTACAATGAAGATCTCCATCTCAGAAGAAGCATAACTGTTTAAAATGCATAAAACGCATAACTGTGTAAAATGAAATTGTTTTGATGCTTGTGTTACCATGCCATTTTGAGAATTATCTGAAAATTTGTTGCCATGTCTTTCTTCTGTAACACAAACTATGTGGCCCTGTGCATTTCTGGGGGATGAATTTGAAATTGCTCCTGCCAACCTCCCGTGGCCTGGCGCGTTATCTGAATGCCTGAATATCTCCCCGCTGAATGAATGAATGGCGCGTTCTGCCCTGAATTCACTCTGGTTTATGATGTTGCGGCCTGGTTGACCTATCCAGAGGAGTCATCGCAGGAAAAGATCCAGGAGTTTTGAGGATGATGAGGAGGGTCACCTGATCTATCACAGTGGAGACGTGCTAAGAGCAAGATGTATAGAATATTTTTGTACCAATTTTTTACTTTTCGGAAAAAATGTTAGCGTAGGATAAAGTGGGGGGTTTGATAGGGATTTGTTTAAAAATGTTTATTTACGTTCTTTGAATAAATGCTTTTCTAGTATTAACAATATTATAGCTAACCTAATTGTTTGTCTACTGCAGAAACACTTTTTGTTAAGGCTTCAACAATCATGTAATGCTAAATACTTAAGCAAAAATAGTCATTAGCAAACTGAAAAGAATGCTAGTATAACATACTTTTAATAGTCCTTTTGATGATGTGATTACAAATAGTTTTGCTAGATGACACTAACTATTATGTTTTATCCCTTTAGATGAAATTGTGTGCACTTTAGGAGAAGGAGCCTTTGGAAAAGTCGTTGAATGCATTGATCATGAGAAGTAAGTTATTTCACTGTTGCATTGATGTGATTGTTGTAGACTGTATACTTTAATATGGCATAATTTAATATTCCATGTTAGGTTTTTAAACTGTTTTTTGGAGACCTAAGTGTTCTATACAAGCCTGATATTTGCTGGTTTCCCAATGGTCCCTCATTTTTATTTTTTGTTGACTGTTTTGTGCGTATTCTTGTTGCAGAGGGGGTGCTCGTGTAGCACTGAAGATTATAAAAAATTTTGATCGATATCGGGAAGCAGCAGTATCTGAAGTTGAAGTGTTGGAGCAGATAAATTCTCTTGACTGTGACAGAAAATAGTAAGTTTCCACTGTTAAATATCTGTCATCTTGCGTCCTTTTTTGTACTTCCATGAATTCATGATGGTTTTTTTTTTTGTTACAGTGCTTGTGTAAGAATGCTGGATTGGTTTGATCACCATGGCCATATTTGTATAGTGTTTGAATTGCTGGGACTGAGCACCTATGACTTCTTGAAGGAAAATGGCTTTATGCCATTTCCAATGGACCAGATCAGAGAGATGACATACCAGATTTTCAGAGCTGTCCGCTGTGAGTATTTTACACTACAGTGAATAATTTATCCAAGTTGTTCACATTTTTATTTTGAAAACCTATTCACAGTTGGGGGCCAGGGGTGTTTCTTGTATAATATATAAAGTTGGGTGTTGCCTTTCTTTTTTAGTTATACATCGGAGCAAGCTCACTCACACTGACCTGAAGCCAGAGAATATTCTTTTTGTGAATTCTGATTATTACATGGAGTACAATCCCAGAATGGTAAGTCTCTGTTTTGGTAGCCTAGTGTTGTTTCAAAGAAGATGGGGTAGTGTTCTTATTTCATTTATTATTGTTTCAGAAACGTGATGAAAGAACCCTGAAGAATCCTGATGTGAAAGTTGTGGATTTTGGTAATGCAACGTATGACCATGAGCACCACACGTCAGTGGTGTCAACCAGGCACTACAGAGCCCCTGAGGTCATTCTTGGTAAGTGACAGATCATTACAAAATAGTTAACTGTACCTTTGGGGTCCTATCATTTCAAAACTTTTTTCCCCCAAATACAGCCTTATTACATTTATTTCATTTGAATGCTTTATTATAGTAATTTATTGTAAGATTTAAAGCCTTCACCTGATAATTATTGGTATGAGGTCTTTAAAGTATTTAAAATAGCTGTAAAGTAAGAGTCCTGTTTTGTTTTTTCTAGAACTGGGATGGAATCAGGCTTGTGATGTCTGGAGTCTTGGTTGCATTTTAATTGAATATTATCTTGGATTAACTCTGTTTCAGGTGAGTTATGTAAGTTAAAGTACAACAGTTCTTGAATTTAGATACATTTATCTTGTAGCAGTGATAGCTGTTCTTAAAGGAAGTATTTATACTTGTGTTCTGTTGCAGACACATGACAGCAAGGAACACCTTGCTATGATGGAGAGAGTACTGGGACCAATACCAACGCACATGTTGCAGAAAACTAGGTGAGGTCTTTGAATTGGGATCTAACATTCCACAGTTAGTGTTTTGGAGAGCTTTGTCCAACTCGGAAAGAAAGGTTTGTTAGAACACTTTTGTTCTCTTAAGTTAAGACATGCTGCAGCATCTGTTCTGTCACGTGGAAGGGGGAAATTAACTTATTCGGGTAGTTTTTCTGAATTAAATACTGATGCATTTTTCCTTTTTTTTTAAAGGAAGCGAAGATATGTACATCATGACAGACTTGATTGGGATGAGCACAGTTCTGCAGGCAGATATGTTAGGAAGCATTGCAGGCCTCTTAAGGTAAGAACTTCTTTTTGTAGGTTTTGGTTTGCATGGTGATGCGTGGTGTCTGGAGTTCTATAGTTGGTATGTTGAAGATGGTGTATAATTAAATTTTTCCCTTCCTTTCTTTCAGCAATACATGGCTTCTAAAAGTTTAGAGCATGAACAGCTTTTTGATCTGATTGGTAAAATGCTGGAATATGATTTTTCAAAAAGAATTTCCCTGGACCAAGCACTGAAACATCCCTTTTTTGACCCCATAAGGAAGGGAAAGAGGAAGTAAAGTCTGTACTGAAATATCCAACATTATACATTCTCCAGGAGAGACTTCAGTGGACTGCATCAGTCTGCCACACAGTGATCACTGTTATGTTGTTATTGTTAACTTACTGTGTATAAATATTTAATGCTGTAATTGGTTAAGCTTTTTAATTTTTCCCTTGTTTTACATCTAAAGTAGGTTTGTACCTTTTTGAAGTATGAATTTCACAATAAATGCAAATGAGCTGCCTAATCTTCATTTGTTTTTATTTTGAAATGAGTTAAGTTTTCAGCATAGGATGTTTTTGAAATTTGATTTCCAGTTGGAACTTTATTATGAATAAATTTTCCAGTGACATTCTGTTCTGCGGTGCACGATGGCATTCTTCTTGCCATACACTTTGGTAAAGTTGGACAGGTAGTTGAGTCTTTTTAAAACTTACCCACCCACAACATCTTTCCATTAAACATAGTTCAGTCCTGACATTTTCTTGACACTGCAGCAGTAGAATACCCAGCTGAATATTTACTAACTAGTATTTTATCCAGGATTTGCTATTAAACTACATTGGTGTAAAATTCTGGAGGAGGTCATAAAAGTGCTTGAAAATCTCGTTTAAATTAACATTAGGCAGGGATCTTTCCACATAGTTGCTTAAAACCCACTTCGTCACACTAGACCAGTGGTTCTCAAACTGTGGTACACGTACCGGCAGTGGTACGCCAAATGACCCTGGAACTGTGTCGTGTGCGCTGAAAAATCGGGACGGGTTTTCATATTTTGTGTTTTAATACGTGTCGAATACGCAGCCTACGTACTACGATACAGTGCGCGCTAATAGTTCAGTGGACACAAGAGATACTCTGTAATTTTATACCACTCTATAGGAATGCATGCTACGGATGCAAATGACCAATTGTATTTAAAAAAAGCTACTATATCTCCAGCAAATAGGGAGAAAGGAGAATGTGCCTGGTTTTAGAACAATGCTAACTTTGTAAACACAGGAATGCATAGAAATACGGGCTACGAACGCAGGTAATCTTGTGAGCACACGAAAGCGTGATAACAGAAAAATATTTAAGAACTGTTCTAATTTGAGAAAAATACACCGAGCGTCTCTGTGTTTCGCTCCCATGCGCATGAAATAAAAACTTTAAATACGGAAAGAAAAACGGAAACGCGGAAAAATGCGAGCTTGCGGATTGTTAAAGCAGGTAAACTACAGTACACTGTTTAAGAACCTTATTTACCGTTGGCAAAAGAGCTGACACGTATTATGTGTAGAGAAAAGGCTGCTAAACAGCTCGACATGCTGCCCCCCTCTCCCTGAAAGACACAGTCATTCATAGAATTATTGAAATGAAGGATTATATCAAAAGTACACTGAGTCTGTAGTCGATTTGGCCAATTTGCTCGTTTACTTTAGATACAAGTTTGAGGGTATGTCCCATGAAGACTTTCTGTTCTGTAAACCGCTACCAACAGGAACTACAGGAGAGCACATATTTCAGCTTCTGAATGAATTTATCGAAGAGAATGGCCTCGACTGGATAAAATGCGTCTGAGTTTGTACAGACGGTGCTAGAGCAATGACAAGCCGACATAACGGTGTAGTTGCAAGAATTAGAGAGGTTGCTCCAGAAATTAATGTACGCATTACAACATCCACCGCGAGACCTTTGCCGTCAAGAAAATGCCTGACGATTTAATATCTGTTAGACTCTGTTGTGAATTGTATCAAGGCTCGAAAAATTAATTCACATCTGCTTTGCTCAACTAAACAGGCTCATCCCTCTCACTGAAATGGTACTTTTTTATTAGTTGTTGTTAATGTTTTTTTTTCCTGTCAAACACTTTGAGAAGCCACGTTATTACAATATTTATTATATGTATGTGTGTGTGCACGCACGCTCATGTTGGTCATTGAGAATTTCTGGGGTTCCTATAAGAAGATGACTTGTAGGTTGTACTTGGATGCTTTGGTTGGGTTAGGGGTGGTACTTGGTCCAAAAAGTTTGAGAACCACTGCACTAGACTTTAAAAGAGGCCAGACGCTGGTATTGCCCAATTTCAATGTATTGCACAACTACAAACGACACCTAACATGATTATACAGCAGATGGCAGCAGTCTAACGTGTTGGTATTACCAGTGTTCATTGGAGATAAGAACACAAATTATTTAACGTGGATTTTTAAACGTTTCCTAATTAAGTTCAGTAGTTAAATGGACAAAATGATTTATATAATATGTATTGTGTGTACACAGTATATTGAGACGAAGTGAACATAAACGCATGTACATTTATTAAACGAAAGCTGGAAAACTGTCCGCTAGAGGGCACTAATGATGTCCTACATAAGTAAAAACAAATCAAGCGTTTTGATCCGTATCGATGAACATTGAGTTGGCACTAATAGACTTCCACTGGAAGTCTAGAAAAATACCACTTCTGATTATTTTCTAAATGGGAAATGTCTTCTTTCTCAGTTTTCCCGTTTTCTGCAGAAAATTGTATGCTCTTGAGATTTATTTGAAAGTGTAATGTGCAGTTTTAATTTGAAAAGGGACTAGTTCCAGAGGAGAAAACATCCATAAAAGCTCCTAGGCCTCCGTTTTAAAATGTGACACTGATCCACATAAATTTTTGTCCTGGAACCCTGGTGGCTTGTTCATGGCTTTACTGATACTGTTTTCTTTGATATCCCATGTTTTCAATGTAATTTAAAAATGGAATGTTCGTTTTTGGATAAAAGCAACAAGCAGGAGGTTGCTGATGGTGGTGGGACTGCTCCCTTCTTTAAATATAAATACAGTACTTTATTGTCCACTGCTATGGAAATGTGTCTGGCTTCTCCCACAGAAGTCCAAAACAGAAGCAAAACAATAAAACCAAAATAAAACATGTAAAACAATTAATCCTGATCCCTGCAAGAAATTTGCCTGATATGCGCTTGCCTGACGTTTTACAGTTAAATGTGTTGCATATCTTTTGGGACGCTCAGGGTATGAACTGAGATATCTCCTGAAAGTGTATCAGTACTAGTCACAAAACCTCAACGTAAACTGCCGTTTTCTTGTTCGCCTACGTAACTTCAGTACCAAAGAATACACATGAGGAAAAAGAAAATATAATTTCTGCTCCAACATACTTTCCCAACAGGAATAGGCTATTCTCTTTCAAGTCATTTCAAGACCCTGGATGATTTCGAATTCTTCCTGAAGTAATGAATTTTCATGTTACATGCCTCTGTTTCGAAAGAATAATAGCAATATATGACGCTGGTATGAAAATGGAAACAACTGGAAACTAGTTATAATAGTAACTTACTTTAATTGAAATTTCTTTCTTTTATATTTTTCTTCGCTCGTTTAATGGAGCAAACAGCTCCACTTTGAATTTTTTAAGAGGAAATTTGTGACAGAATCATGTTAGATTTGATTTCTGACTATGTGGTTTAAACAATGATCTCTGCTCAGACTTCTAAAAATATTGCTACCGACATCACCTTTGCGTACAAAGTTCGCTAGCGTTCAGTTCTTTGTGAAAGACTTCCGAAATTCCTTCCCGTCTATGAAAGTCTACATCACACTTTTTGAGATACGATTTTTAAGGTTTATTTTAATAGCACTTCCAAGCAGGCGCACTGGTGGGAAACAGCGGGGATGCCTACGTCCGTCTGGCGATTTATCTTACATCGGGAGTGGGGGATGGATACATTTAAGCTTTTGGATAAAGGGTTCATGCATCAAGGAAATGCTGTTTTGCAACTTTCATTAAAAAATTCGATTTTCTGAAAGTTTGCTGTATTCAATGAACCTAAAGGGTACAGAAAATAAATACTACTGGTCGTTTAAAATCTGATGTTTTAATTAACTTTTGCTACCAATACGTGCATTGATTCTGAAATGTATGGCGATTGTGTAAAAGATTAAACAACTTTTATAAATACAAATATGTACATATATAATCAAATGAAAATCTTTCATCAAATGAAGACTTTTCATTAACTTAATTCGAATAATAAATAATATGTACGTGCAGCGGAGAAACGAGAAATAAAAAGGCTGTTACTTTTCCAGAAAAGGTCAAAGTGACGATCGGGATTGCAGTTTTCCAAATTCATTACTGTTTTTATGTTATTTAGTTATTTAATACAGAGAACACATGTGTTTCTTCAATCTGTACTGTAGAACGTATCCAATAATACAATCTTTAAAATGTGCTGCTATTTAGTTTGCGAAATACCTGGAATACGGAATAGACTTATTTTTTATAGAAGTTATATGATAACAGTGTGGGAATTATGTAGAAGGGAACATCTGATTTTATTTTTCTACTCCTTCCCCACGTGGTTGTCGGGGCGGTCGCATCACCAACTGGCCAGACTTCTAATTTTGCATAAAGTAAATTGACTGGCTCTGGTTCTACTTCACTTGAGCGAAAGCTTAACCTGAGTGATCAGACACAGCTTCACTCATATAATTCCAAATTTCTCACAGCTGGTTAGAATACCCAGAGTCAGAACTGAGCGCAGTGCGGAGCTCTGCGTGTTACAAACTCTTGATCTCTGCAGCCAGCGCGACAAATTCATTTAAAAAAAGTAATCTTACATTTTTTCTAACATTTGTTTAAAGTTCCGAAGTCAAAAGTTACAAAGACATTCCTCCAGAAGGAAAGATATCAGCGCCAGTTTATCCTGAAATCACCGCAATGATGGATTCTACAGAGAAATTAAACGGAGAAAAAAACGCAGAGATTCACAAAAGTGCCCACAGATCTCTCCTGTTTAGATGTTTGGTGGCGCTACCTACAGTTCTGTGTTTCATATTATCGCTGAGCTCCTTAGCATTTTGTTTTTTTGTGAGTTTCAAAGCATACCAGTTGGAAAACAGGGTGAACGATTTGGAGATGGAAAAAAGATCTGTATTTCATCCTTCAGAAACCACAATCATCGGAGAAGATGGAAACGTATTACCTGTACTTCAAGATACGATTGAAAGACTCATACAAGAGGTAATGGTTTAATTTTATAATGGTGAATGATTTGTAGCATCACATATATTAAATATATTTCGTAAATGCAGTCACGTGCATTTTGTGATGTGATCAAATATAGTTATCCATAAAGGAACATCGAAAGGTACTTGGAAGATTAGCCTTTTCTACTTTAAAAGAAGTAGTTAATCGATTAATATGACCTCACCTGACAGATGCGATTTGCTTATGTTTCAGAACGCGAGCTAACTTAATTCTTCCAGTTCTGTGAGGGTAAAAACCTTGATGTGATATTGGCAATTAACTTAAGCCCTGTAAACCTGTAAAACCCTTTTACAGTAACATTTCATTAAGAGTAGCTTGTTTTGCATACATTTAAAATTTAACCATCTCCACTGTAGTTCATTATGCAAACATTCGCTTATCTACATGGCCTGCATAAATGTTAAGCCAGGGTCACCGGAGTTCTCTAAAATTCGTAATCCATAATTCATTCAACTGTGTAAAGCAAATATTCGGGCATCTGTTTTATATAGCATCTTTGTCAAGTACGCTTAAAAATCAGTACCTTTAAGATCAAATTATCTGTGTTATCGGGTGATAGCGTATTAAGCAAAAATTGCAGATGGGAAAAGCTATTTCTGCAAGATATGTAGTATGTGCTATAAAGGCTGCGAACATCGCAGATTATGAAACTATCTGTATTTTTTAATGTCTTTGCGGAATACCTGCATATAGTTTATAACAGAATTAAGAAATTTAGAGAGAGGAGCAAAATGGTGCGAGCGCACAACCGATTGAGGGCCTATGATCTCATTATTCACCCTCATGTAATGTACATCAATTCATAGGGTTTTGGCGCACCTGACACGTTTATGCATAAGAGCGCTAATTTAACAAAACATCAAATGTCAAAAGGAATGGTAGATATCACTGAACGTAACCCGTACTGTTTCCATAAAAAACATTGAAGTTATGTAGTGCCTATCAGTAATTGGTAAAGCTACTTGAAGTTCAGTAGCATGAGTTCGAAATCCTGGATAGGCCAATTTTTTATTTAAATATTTTGACTTTTATACTCAAAAGTATTAAGCTGTTTACAAGCATGTTATGATTGTTATTTTAAATGTTTGTTTGAGTGATAGATTTCTCCTTATCTTAACATGAAAACTAGAAACATGCTATAAAATCATTTAGGGCTTGACAACAACAGATTAATCTTTGTTGCAGAGACATAATTGGCCTGTATCTTATAGTATAAGAATGAAAATGTAACACCTTTATAAGTTTATGGAATATCTAAGGAAATTCTACTGTTGATAAAGCTGATGTCACTACTATTAAATACAGTGTTTTCAATTTAAGGAGTTTCAGTAATTGCATTAGTATTGTCCAAGTGATGTTTACACAACAGACAAATTTGTGTTTATTTGTATTTTATTCTTCATTAGTCTAAATTATTATTATTGAACACTGGCTTTTTTAATGAAGTAATAATGGAAGACCTACTGTATGGTATGCGAAAAGTGGTCTAACACTTAACACAGTAAATTGTTCAGCGTGTTAAGTGGTGCTGTAAAACAAGTTTAAAAAGATAAACCTTTACTGAATCTCTTCTCGTACATTATACAGAACTTTACATCGTTTCATTACAGTAAATGTATTGGTAATGTTTGTGTTTATATTGTTTGCTTAATATTACTCAATTTTAATCACACAAACTTGTAATGTGATCATTTGATTTATAAGTTAATGACTAAAAATATTACAGCACAGCAAAACTTTTTATCCTCTTTAAAGAGCTATTTTTCTCCACAGAGGTTAAATGAAGCGATGCCTAAGCTACGACCTGTAAGAGATGTGGACCGAGAGTGTTCCTGCCCTCCAGGTACTGTATGTCAAATGTTATGGGCTTGGTGTGCTAGTTGTATTCTAGACACCAACTGGTGTTTGTTTAATGGTGAGGCAGACAGGTGGCGTGAATTCAGCAGTATACAGTAGATGGTGAATTATTTCTGATACAGTTAAAAAGGAATCAGATACCATTCCAAACATTTAAAACCACAAATTACATGGCCATTGGCAATTCCAGCTCTATCTCTACCCAGTTCTATCAGTAACTTGCCTTAATGCTGTGATAATGTCAATGGAGATGGAGACTTTTGTTAGCTGAGAAATAATGTAAGTCTGAAGAATTTTATTATTTTTACTTTCTTTGTATGGGATGATTTGGCAAAGAAAAGGTGAAGTTTTAAATAACTTGTTTTTTTAGAGTAATTCATATCTGGGAATGAAGGGCAGATGTTATGGAGTAATTTGCCTCCGTTGTCTAGCACTGATTGTTCATTTGGAGTCAAAATTCCTTGGGTCCTCATTCTTAATTTACCTGTGAAGAGTCACTGACAGACAATGAAATACCTAATAGGGAAAAAATGCACTCTGAGATGCTATATTTTTAGTTACATTTACATTTTATATTCTGCTTTTATAGAGATGAGGTTGAAGGCCAACAATTTAACATGAACGGCCATTTCTTTCCTATTTGTGTATGGTCATTTTATCATAAATCAGAAATCTTTGTGAAAAGATTAATATTTTTAGAAGAATTGCAGTACTCATTCAAGATGTGGTTTATTGTATGTGAGAGTACACATCAGTGAGCCAGAGCCAGAACTCTAGGGCACAGGGGACAAGTCAGAGATGCCAGCCTGTGATGGGGCACTCAATATACCAATTTTATAACTATAACTTGGTGAGAGGTTTTTAAGGAAAGTTCATACTTACGTGTACATCTGTCATTTATACAAACCAATTTGTGCATTAGCACATTATATTGAATGCTTCTGTAGTCATTACAGGATCACAACACAAAATCTCTTCTATGCATTCTATACAAAAATAACTCAAATGAAAAAAACAGGCACATTTTGATATTTATTGCAACTTTAACAGTTGTACTGAATAATTTGAAAGTTGATATTCCTGTTATTGGAATGTTGGCACACTACCCTGTACAATTGGAGTGTGATCATTTTTTTGCATGATGTACAACTTTTGTAAGTCAAAAGGGCAATCTATGCCGTTCCATTAAAAACAAAATGTTCAAACAGGTTGTTTAAGTGTGTCTTTTATTTTCAATAGTAATTATGATAATTCCATCCTTCATGCTGTTAAGTTGAGTTTGTGCAATGAAACAGCTTGTGACTAAATCCCCTGGCTGTCAGATAAGAAGGTGGAGGTGTTCTCTGTTTTAGACACCAGAAGTATTAGATGTGAAAGTTTTTCTTCTCTCTTCATCTCTCTGCCCCAGGTACTATAAGCATGTAATATGAGTTGACAGCTACACTGATGGTTAGTTTAAGATTTAAGTCAATATGTCATAGCAGGGGAGAAGGTAGGTAACTGGCTGAGTACACCAGAGAATTAGGGGCAAGAGTCTTCACCTTCATGGCTGTTCTTCACTCCAAAACAAAATTCTAATAAACTGAAAAGGTTGACTGTGTTGCTTGGGCCATACTGTTGCCTTAGTATTTGAGCTGTCTGTTTCAGAACTGGTCCCCAATGAACTTCAAAGTGATTTGATGATTGGTCTAATGGTCCATGAATCCATTGACGCTCACAGGCATCTGTATGACTAAACTATTTACATTCTAAGATACAGGGGAGGCCCTCACTCATTCTTTGCTTTGTGGGTGAACAGTTCTCCCTCACATACTGTAGGAACATGCATATCAGTGGAATGGGGAGTTATGGCTCTCCCATTGCTCCAAATGGTTGGCTCAAAATAACATTTCCTAAATTAGATTATCCACACCAAATGGACAATGCTGTAACACCGCTCCTGCTGATAGTATTGAGTCCTGCATGTGTGCACTCCGGGAAGTGGTAAGTCTTTTGTAAAAAGACAAAGATCTTCCAGTTCACTGAGACTAACACAGCATTCTTTGGAACTTGCAGTTTCCAGACTCCTCTTGCATCCTGGACAAAGCACTTTTTCATTGATGATGACTCAGTTTTCAACATTTGTAAAAGTGCACAGAACTGTTTTTTTTTTAGTAAGTGGAAATCCAAACTAAACTCATGTTTTAACTGATTTAAAGTTAAAACTGCAACTATAAAGAACCGTTTAGCCTATTTTGGTAATGCCTGGGCTTACACTGAGTTTTGGAACTTGATCCATTTGTGCTAGTAAGATATTTTTTGGAGATTTTGTAAAAGAGTTAGAAAGCTTGTCAATTTGCATTTTCCCTGGATCAGTTTGAGTGCCTTTTAACAACTGGTCATCAATCAGAGCTCCATAATGATCTCAAGGTTGCCTTTCTGTATGTTTTTGTCATGTGTTTGTCTCCACAGTCATCTCAGCATGAGGTAACCTTGCAAATCTTCAGTCACAAGTCTGCTGGCTTTTATCATTTGGTTTGTTTTTGTTCTGAAAGAGACTGGCTCTGGTGCAGCCAACAAGAGAGTCGTGATTAAAAAAACAACAACATGCAAATGAATGAGGAACATCAAGCCTGAGAATGACAGTCCTGCAGTCTTATTCACAGCAGCAGCTGAGGCTGTAATCGCTGTGGACAGAATAGCTTTACAGCATGTAATGTGAGTCATGTTGCTGAAACAGAGATGGTTTGGAGGTTATCGCTTTTATCTTTTTATAGATTAGTACATATGGCCACATATAGTTGTTATAAGGCTTCTTGTGAAGCTTTAAAAGCTTTGGTATTTGTTTCTAAATGTAATTTGATTTTGAAGTTTCATATGAATTTTATTGTATTAAAGCTCACCTAACTTCTTTGGCTTAAAAAAAAATACAGTTGGTTGCTGCTCAACAGTTGGCAGGCATTATGCCTTTAATGTGAACCATAGTATAAATCTAATATCAACTTTCTTTTTTTTAAAGACTACTTTTTTAATAAAATGGTTTGTGCTCTTTTAGGGTATTAGACCTATATCTAGTAAAATATGTAATTTAAAATGAAATGCAATCATAATCTTCATCATCTTCATCAAATGAACCTTATCAGTTTGTTTAAAAAGGAAAACTAAATAGAACTCATTTTCTGCAACTACACATGCGAGTCTGAGTGTTTATTGCAGCTCAGGCATTCAAGATGCCAAATGCCGCCTTACTGCACTTCTTGTAAAATGTAAGGTGAAACCTTTTCCATTTAGAAAGACTTGATGTCACTATGGGAAAACTGACTCATGTGTAGATGCACCCAGTAGTGGTGTTAAATTGGGAAACATTTTTAAATGCATACAAATAGATAATGGTTGTCAAAACACATCGGGAATATGAGAAGGATATTCTGCAGTAAAGGCTGTGAATGTCAGACCGCTGACATGTGGCAGACTGTGCACCTGGGGGCGGCACAGTGAAGCTGTATATGTTTTCACAGCTGAACAAGTGAATGAATCTGCTGCGTGATAAGGTTGAAAGGACAAGATGGCTTCTGTTTAATATTTTTTTTAAACTGTTTGTTGGGTAAATTTAGACACCTGCTTCCATTTACCATATTATTTATGCAGCTAATAAAAATTAAAATGGAGAACAAATGGGTATTTAAGACAAGGGAAGAACTTCAGTGTCTCATTAAGTTAAGGGGACAATATCTTGCCAGCTTTGTAATACTGATTTATGCTAACTCTACAAGTGCTCATGCTCGATTTACGATGTATAGACAAACTCCGGCCTGCACCCTCCGCTTGGAAAGCCACCATATGGACACATTTTTGATTTAATGAAGTAAAAGGTAAAAATGAACTGGATAAGAGTCATGCAGTGTGCAAGCTCGAACATACAACGAACATATGCAAAATCTTTCACGTTTCCATCAGTTGGAGGAAAAACAGCCTGTTCTTAGAGAACCGTCAAGCAAGTGTCAAACCTTTCACATAGTTTGGAAAGGGCGAAGCGAATCACCAGGTCTATAGCAAGTTTTATCGCAAAAGATTTGCGCCCCTATGCCATTGTTGAAAACCCAGGCTTTCACTAAATGTTGCAAACACTGGAGTCGAGGTACAACATACTGTCTTGGCATCACTTTAGTGAAATGGCAATACCAATGCCCTACAACAACACCAAAACTCAAGTTTTGGAATCATTGAAAAAAGCACATAGGGTGGCAATAACCTGTGATGGGTTGATGTCCATTGCAAGAGAATCCTATATCACGATTAACACACACTACATCACCGATGAATGGCAGTTCGTGTCTCTTGTACTCCAGTCACACAGTAAGAAAAAAATCAGAATGTATAGAAAAAAATCGAGATGCAGCAAGAATCGATTTATAATCGCACTGTGGCACCCTGAATTGAAATCGAATCGAATTGTGAGGTGCGTAGAGATTCCCACTCCTAGTGTCTACTATGTAGCTCACAAGCCAGTTGCATATACAGTATTAGGAATAACAAGTTGTACATCTGTGCAACCCACTTTTGGTTTCTGTAGGAATCTGTCTCATCTTTTCAAACATCCTGTTGACTGGTCTATGAGCCCTAGATACCACAAATCTCCCTCGTTGTTGAGGTGAAATGAAAGTTAGCCCTCTTAATTCAGAAAACGATTTTTTAGCATTTGGCACCCAATTCTGAAATCTAAGAAATTAGTTAACACAGTGTACATGAATGTCATGATCACTATTTAGGAATATTTATGAAGTGACATGAAAGTTTGTTCCTGATGGCACTTCTGTCACTGTTCAAGCGATGGAGTGTAGAAATTAATGAGTAAGAGTCAACTTTGTCATGTGTTGTCCAAGCTTGTTACTAGGAGGAAGAGATAAGAATTATGGAGTAAAAAATAGTTTAGAAGTTTGGAAGAACTGTTAAAATCATTATCATTGCACACTTGCAGGGCTTGATTGAGCAGTAGAACACTGTCCT